TGAAATTTTTTTATCTTGCCTAAGTGAGCGGTGAGTCAAATACTTTGGGAACCTATGATTTAAATGAATGATAATCTTAATAATTAATACTGATCGCAAATTTATACATTTATGGGATACTGATATTTTATAAGCAAAGAAGACGAGGTGGAGCGATAATATTGCAGAAATAGCAGGAAAGCTATGGCCAAGATAGAGTCTGTTGGAGGAGCCTTTCACCGCTAAAGGCGGGCTTAATACATAACATTACTAACTGTAAATTAAAATAATATACTAACCATACTAACATATAGAATAAGCTGTAAGTAAATAAGTAAAATAATAAACTGTAAGTATTCCATTTGTATTGTAAATAAAGCTATAACTAAATGGGATAGGTACTGAATATTTGACGATCTCGTTGGTCTAGTGGCTCGCACACCGACATGATGTCGCCATCTCGAAGTTCGATCCCCGGCCGAGTCAGTTTAGAAAAACTAACTTTTATGTACTGTGTAAGGTCTGGGTGTTTGTGATACTGTCATTGTTTCCGATTTCCATAACACAGGTATTTTATTTAGTACTTACTTTGGGATCAGAGCAACGTACGATGTTGTCTAATATAAAAATAATAAAAAATACTAATATTAACTACAGAGAAGAAAACAAGCAAGAATAAAATGGATTACTTAGGAACAAACTTACCAGTTTCAACATGATGAGTGTTTGTTAGTCCAAGGAGCAACAAAATCAAGTCTAGAGGCACTAGACAGGTGTGCTACAAAGCAAGCGACAGATTAGTAGAGCATCCTTTCGCATGACCCTTATATACAGGGTCCGCAAGTTGACATACCGTCCGTGATCAGAAAAATTAATGTGAGGCTGTCCTTACAACTCAATGGTAGGTATATCGAATCCACTATACACAATGTCGCATTATGAGTTAATAGTGCGTCATTTCCATATCGGACCCGGATTATATTCCGAACAATAGCGAGCACGCGAAGTTTCGACGCTGATTAATAGAGGCAAAAAGAAGATGTTTATATTTATTTATACATATATTTATTGTAGGTACATAGCCATAGTGGCGGACTGGTGTTTTGCTGTTTTATTCAGTTGGTCTTCTAGTGCGAAACAAGTGACAATTTATTTCATTCTAGAACAATCATAATTTGGTGCTGAAACAAAACTTATTACTGGATCCATATCATATATCGCGTGCTATTATGTTTAAATCAAGTTTAAATTTCAATGCAGAATTTGTGATCGTCTTCAGACATGCATATTTACACAGGTTACAGTGTTTTTCTTTATCATATAATCTCAGTACAGGCAGAATACTAAAAAAACCGATATCAAAAATTCATATTACATCTATTTGCCAAGTTTTATTGAAATCGGTTACCGGAAAGTGTGCGAAACTGGATTCATTCGTAATTTGCCACTCTTAGAGATGGAGTATTTTCTTCAAATTTAAATACCGAGGTACTCTTTCCAACAAAAAAGAATCATCAAAATCGGTTGACAAATGCCGGGAGTTATCGCGTAACATACATACAAAACCACCTCCTTTTTTTGAAGTCGATTAAAAAACAAATAGACGTCTCATGACTATTATTGCTGTTCTATCTTCTAGAATCAGCAAGTAGAACTTCTTCCATTAAAGCCACAGTACATATACCCCACAAATAAACGTTAAAATCGTTTAATTTTTAATTAATAGACGATTAAATCTAGAATGTTGGGACTAGAAGCAACTAAAACACGACTTTGTACCTTTTGTACCTTTGTATTATTTTCTACCTAACCCAAGAATATTATAACATCTGTCGGTGTTATCTTAACTCTTGTTATCAAAGTAAGTAAGTACTTGTAATTAAAAATAATAGAAGTGTAGGGAAGATTTAGGCTTATGAACAAAATTAACTACTTATAATTATAACAAGTTCCTAACAAAAACATACCACCCTGGTAAGTTGTAATTGTGAAACATCGACATTTTTACGCCTATTTGGGAATCGAATAAATTGAAGCCAACCCACTATGTCGAGGTAATTACTAAAGCTTTATAGGGCTTCGCTCCAATAAACATCATATAAAGGGTTCCTTTTTGATTTGGAAAAAGTAGGTAATGTCTATTAATAAAAAATTAAACGATAACGTTTATTTGTGGGGTATATGTACTGTGGCTTTAATGGAAGAAGTTCTACTTGCTGATTCTAGAAGATAGAACAGCAATAATAGTCATGAGACGTCTATTTGTTTTTTAATCGACTTCAAAAAAAGGAGGTGGTTTTGTATGTATGTTACGCGATAACTCCCGGCATTTGTCAACCGATTTTGATGATTCTTTTTTGTTGGAAAGAGTACCTCGGTATTTAAATTTGAAGAAAATACTCCATCTCTAAGAGTGGCAAATTACGAATGAATCCAGTTTCGCACACTTTCCGGTAACCGATTTCAATTAAAGTTGACAAATAGATGTAATTCCACGCACTTTTGAGGTCGGTACTTTGTACTGAGATTATTCAATATTGAGAATATTGACCTACGTGGGGCGCATTATAAGTTTCCGGAATGAATAAGAAAAAAATACTATAAATGGTCAGAAATGAATTTATTATTTCTCAAAATTTTCTCCGTTAGTGTTAATGCACTTTTACATACGAATGAACCAATTTTGAAAACATTTATGCCACTCCTCCGTGACAATCTCTGAAACATATTTTTCATACTCTTCGACAGCCTCTTCAGGGGGCCAATCGCGCTATTTTCGAAAGGTTTAACCATTCCACGGAACAGGTTTTGGCTTTGGTAAATATATAGTTTTACCGTTGCACAAAATGCAATCGCGCTATCAATTTTAAAGGTTTAACTAAAAACAAAACCATAATAAAACCTAAAACTATAACCTCATAAGAAACGTTAAGAGACGCACCTTGACTACCTGAAAACCGATAAAATTTGACGTAATCGAAAATTTAAAATGCACTGAAATGTCAATATTTACGAATCTTAGGGTCGTATTCTAGAACTCTACTTGTGCTGATGCTCAAGTCAGGATTAGAGTATGGCTTAAAGCACTCGAAAACATACTCAAGTCCCTGCCATTAGGGTCGTATTTCCAGTGCTTGTGTTGCCAGTGCAATCCTGACTTGAGCATCGAGTAGAGTTCTAGAATACAACCCTGAGGGTCGCAAGGCACTTGATACCATACTCAAGTTTCTGCCATTAGTGTCGTATTTCCAGTGCTTGTGTTTCAAGTATACGAACAGAAACGTTAACCTGTCAAAGGTAAATCCATTCCCCCACCTTTCTTATGTGGTTAAAACGTTAAAATATTTAGCGCGACACCAATTGGCAACGTTTCATTTTTCGGTTTTACCTTTGACAATTAGCGTGATACCAAATGTGCGCAACGTATCACATTTGTAACGTTTCGTTTTTGTTTGGCTTTGGTTTTTGTTTTGACAGTTAGCGCGATACCAAATGTACGCAACGGGTCACATTGGAGACGTTTTTGGTTTTAGTTTTACCGTTGACAATTAGCGCGATTGGCCCCCAGGTGATGAAAATCGTTGACCGCGTAACTGGTTCTTAATTTTTGGAAATAAATAAAAGTCACAAGGTGCCAGGTTGGGACTGTACGCGGAATGGTTCATAAGGTCAACGTTGTTCACCTTCAAAAATTCATTTGTCTATCTGGCCGTGTGGTGCAAGATGATACGGCGTTTACGGTTATTTTTACGGAGTTTGTCAATAACTTCCGGCACACAACTAATCGTGTACCAGTCACTATTCACGGTACAACGATTCTCCAAAGCAACAGTAGCCACGTGTCCAGTTTTATTAAAAAAAGAAGCAATCATCCGCTTAGAGGCACTTTGCACGAGCGCCACTTTGGTTGGTTTCGGCTCATCTCGAAAGACCCTTACGCTCGATAGCTGCTTTGTTTTGGGATCGTCACTATAAATCCATTTTCCTCACCTGTTACTATATCCCACACCAAATTTGACACCCCTTCGTTGAATCTGGTAAGCATGGCATTGCACCAAGTGACACGATCCGTTTTTTGAGCCTCAGTCAAATTATGTTGTGTTCACAGCAGTGGACGGGCGACCATTACGATATTCGTCACTGAGATTCACACGACCGCGTTTGAATTCAGCAAACCAGCTATAAATAGTCGTCTTGCATGGTGCTTCATCGCCAAAAGCAGTTTGAAGCCGAGCGAAGCTCCGCTGAGCTGTTACATTACACTTAAAGTCGTACAAAATCATACTACGAAAATTTTCATGAGTTAAATCCATGGTGATTTAGACAACCAATTTGTAAAATGACGCCACAATGTAAAAATAAGTGACAGACAGATGAAGCAAACTGTATCTGTAGTCAGAGTTCCATTTTCAAACGTTGTAATTACTTTTTAAATATTGTTTATGTACCGTGTGGACCGTAAAATACCCTATAATTTTAAAAAGTTGTCGGACCACGTACACCAACAACATCACTACTCATTTTGTTCGGCTGCGTATGGTACCTACATCCTAAAATTTACGCAACTACTATGCTAATTACTTACAAGACATTTTTCCTCGGACGAGGCGAGACGAGAGGATTGAAATTTGAATTACAAAATTTCAATTCTCTTATAGCGCATCGTTGGTGGAAATGGTCTTGATTTATGAGTATGTGTGGGACGATAATTGAAATATTTATCGGTGTAATATTGAACCGTATTACGGATGGCTATTAATATCAATCACGAAATTGTGATTCAAGATTTTTAAAAGGTGGTTTTTCTGCAAATAATTTGACCCGCCGTCGAGTTTTACAAATTTATAATATTAATGGCAATTGTTATATGGAAACAGGCCGGCTAAATATCAATACTCGTATTTGGCTTCAGCAGTGAAAAAGCACTTTAATTAGCCTCGTTCATTTTGTAATTTTCTTTCGTCAAAGATGTAAGATTTCCTTAAAGGGTTTAATTAACATGTGTAGAAATTGGGTGGATTCAAAACGCTAAAATCTTGCAAATAAGGTTTATTAGCCATCATTCATCATCGTTTTTCTGTCGTATATTGCGTTTTGCGTTGTTCACCTTCCGGCGTTTAAACTCCACCGGGCCGTCGTCACCGCCCAGTGACTGTATGCGTTTCTCTTTGAACTGGACTTTTTCTTCTGGCTCCATTATGATAGGTGGTGGCGGAAGCTTTTTCACCGTTGGTAGTTGAAGATCGATTTTTTCTACAGGTCTGTAACAATAAAGATACGAAATGTCAAAATGAAGATATACAAGGTGTAACAATAAGGTGCTCATGTCAACCAATGTATTAAATTTAAATTCGCAAAATATATCGAGTTCTTAGGTTTCGCGATTGTTACACATAAGAAATAAAACTATTTTTCCGGATTATGGTCACGGTTGACCATGGGACCAGTAAAGGGCCCGAAACGTCGGTTTGTTTCAAAAAAAAAAACAAACATACGCGATTTAAATCTGGAAAAATAGTTTCATTTCTTATGGGATGTTGTCTAATATCAATCGATACCTCCAATGCAGATGACTCTGATGACACGTAACTCATTTTTAGGAAAATATGATTTTCGATCTATATGTTAAACAAGTTATATTATACATTAGTGAAATCAGAATATTTCTACCAAAAACATTTATTGTCTGCTTTCACATGTTAAATATTGTGTTATGTTAATGTACAAGTACTCGTAATGAATCTAAAATCACATTTTTCTAAAAAATTAGTTACGACTACTTGTTTTGGATTTGGTATTTGTTTTCAAAATTATGGCCCGAAACTTTAGTTTGTTTGACAAAACAAATATACGCGATTTAAATTCGGAAAAATAGTTTCATTTCCTATGTGTAACAATCGCAAAAACCTAAGAACTCGAAAAATCCCATAAGTTGGTACAGGGTCAAGAGCATGTCAAGCTTGACACTTAAATCCAACTCTATGCCGCTTACGATAAGTACGGTCCAAAGTACTAAGTGTAAAGCTTGACGTGCTATTAACCAGTGTTGGGCGTTAATCAATTAAATTTCAATCAGAAATTCAATCAGACTAAAAAATCAATACAAATCAATTGCAATTGATTTCAATTGAATTGATTTTATTTGCAATTGAATTAATTGCAATAATTTTTTTTAGTTTTTCTAAGAAACAATTGAAACTAACAATTAAAACCGAAAGTACCGAATAAAAGTGTCATTACGAATATGGGTTAGGGGGTGGGTTAAGGGTATGTTAGGGGGTAGGTTAGGGGGTCAGTTAGGGGGCCGGTTGGGGGTTTTGTTGGGGTGTCGGTTGGGGGGTCAGTTGGGGTCCCGGTTGGGGGGGGCGGTTGGGGGCCGTTTGGGGTGCGGTCAGGGGTGAGTGACCCACCTCCTAACCCAACCCACCTAACCCACCCGCTGACCCACCCCGTAATCCTCCTAACCCACCCCCTAAGCCACCCCCTAATCCACGCCTAACCCCCCAACCCAAATCTTAACCCCCCCAACCCAAACCCTAACCCCGCCAATCCAAATCCTAACCCACCCCATAACTCACGCCCTAACCCACCCCTAACCCCCCACCCCTGTGATCGTTATTGAACATTTCAGTCCTATTAGTAAAACGGTACATCAAGAAAATACTTAGTAAAATCCAGACAGATAAATCGAAATATTACCTAACTAAACATATACAGGATGATTTTTTAGTCATCGTCCAAATTTTTTCCAGCCGCTAGGTATATTCAAAGTTATTCCGGCTAGTAGTTAGTCATTCGAAGACTCCATTTTCGAAAAAAAATTGATAGGTAGGATTTTCAAAATGAAAATATTTATTCCGAAGTAATACTCGACAAAAATTGGTTACCAATTTACACTATTATTATTATTAATATTATTATATATATACTACGACTATGCGTCTATGAATGAATGCCATACGCTAACCGCGCGGATTCTCCAATGATACGCTAATCAAAGCAAAATGCCGCCACCGCCCGCGCCGAACGCTATTGGTGGCTGTCACTTCAGTCGTCACACGTCCGTGTAGCGCTTCGTACGTGTGTGCAACGCTATCTCGCTGTTGAAAACGCATTCACGTGTCACTATGTATACAAACCGCGAGTACTTTGAAATGGTCAAGTGCTATTTTATAAGTGATGAAAGCCTAAACGGAGCCCAGAGACTATACGAGTCAGAGAGCATTCCTCGCCTTCGCAATTATGGAATAGCAAGTCCTGCAGTCCCCAACCGCCAAACGTTTCTGCATGTCATACAGAGGCTTTTAGACCATGGCCAGTTTACGACGCCTTCACACGCCCAAGGACGTGGTAGGCCGCGACTGTCCGTGGAAATCGAAGACGAAATCTTCGATTTTTTCGAGAGAGATCCAAGACGAAGTACACGTGATGCAGCTCGACGGTTCAACGTTAGCCAATACGCTGTGTGGAAGCTGCTCAACACCTCTGGATTGCACCCTTATCACTTTCAAAAAGTGCAAACGCTAAACGAAGCAGACGCGCTGCCTCGTCGAGTTTTCTGCGAGTGGCTGATCGCACACCCCGATGCGGTCATTTTATGGACTGATGAAGCCCTATTCACACGTGTGGGGCTGTACAACCAATATAATGGACATTGGTGGTCGTATCGCAACCCGCACATGATAAAAGACAATTATCACCAAGTGCGTTTTAGTGCAATGTGTGGGCCGGGATTGTCGGTAATAAAATTTTAGGGCCGTATTTTATGGAGGGGCGGCTGACCGGAGGCACCTATCTCAATATGCTACAAAGCATAGTCTCTGATTTGATGGACGACGTACCGCTAGCCCTCATTAACCATCCTGCTTTTTATTATCAGCATGACGGTGCACCGCCACATTACGCTATCGACGTGAGGAATTATTTAAATATGGAATACGGGAATCGCTGGATCGGCCGCGGGGGTCCCCTTCCATGGCCACCCAGGTCACCAGACCTCACACCCTGTGACTTTTTTTGTGGGGCGAAATTAAGCGCCGCGTGTATGTGGAGGAGGCCCAAACCCTCAATGAATTGAAACTAAAAATTGAAAGTGCATTTGCACAAGTGAAAAGTGACACTACAGTGCTGAACAAAATACAAGACAATATTCAAAAACGTGCAAGAATCTGCTTGGAGAGGAATGGTTTACATTTTGAGCAATTATTAAAATACTGTTAAAGTTGTTACGCTAAGGTAATTTTTATTTGATTTTAATTAAATGTACATAAGTTGATTCAAATTTTTTAAATACGCCTTATTGCAAAAGGCATGGCCTGCTTTTATTTTTATACTTCTGTGTACGATACGAGTGCGGACTACATTTGTCGTAAATCGATGTTTTGTTTAAATTTATTGATATTATTATAAAATGTTTCTAGTTCACTAATAAAAAACACCACGTGCGTAGATATCAAAAGGGCGATGGGAAGATTCTTTTTTTTATTACTTGCTAAATACTAATTCGTTACAATTCATCGTAGGAAGCGAACCTTTTATTTGTTTGTCTCACAAACAAAAGTAAAGATTATTTTCGTTTGTTCTCTACACATGTGACTTTGAAATTCAATAAGTAAATTCTTCGATGGCCTTCGGTAACACAACGCTTTAAATGCGTAGAAGTTAAGTTCGGGAAACGAACTTTCCTAATTAGGTGTGTTTATCAGGTGCATTATTTTTATCATTATTTTGTAATAATATCATTAAATTTTGTCAAACCTCTAAAACAATTTACTTATAAATAACTTCCGCTCTCGTTTTCGTGCGTTAATGTAACAAAATCTTGACTTGAATTCGAATTAATTGTCTACATTCTAAAATAATTTCACAAAAGCCTTTTGTAACTTGACGGTCCTAAGCCCGTGAAAGTATGAAGGGAAAATTTGCAACTTATGTATTTTATCAATGACGCGGGGGGTGGCCTAGCGCGCATATCGAGTAGGCTGTCCACACGCGCGCAATTTTTTAAAACAATTTTGCGATGGCATATTTTAGTACTGATTTACACTAAAAGGAAAATTTGCGCATGTTATATTTTCACTAAAGATCATAATATGAAAGTTTGGACGATGACTAAAAATTCACCTGTATACAAAATCTCCGCGTTACTACATGTTGGCTCCGACAAAACAGATTGAAACCACCCAACATTAAATGTACGGAAACCAACCTGCAAATAACCGCGATTTAAAAATGTTAATAATGGAAATAGCATCTATGACCACTGTAATATTGTACAGATTGGATATGGATGTTTCCACATTGGGCGCTACACCATTACTTACTTAGTAACAACTGGTGTCCAAGACCCATATGGTTTAACAGCTCGCGGCTCAGGGCCAAACCTCGTCGTACTTCTCTCTGGGGGAGGGTCATTCTTCACAGCTCGTTCCTTCATTTGTTCTCTCGCCATGTAAGCCTTCACTTCTTTGACTGATTCTTCTTGTTGCTGCTTCCTGGTTAAAGAAATAAACAATACCATATAAATTCAAAGTAATATTATAAATGTGATAGTAACTCTGTTTGTTACGTTTCTACGCCTAACCCGCTGAACGAAATTTGTTGAATTTTGGTATAAAGATAATAATAATAACGCGCACACACTCATAGCTCCCCGCTAGGGAAACTCTGTATCGCGGGTGCCATTGACACACACATAGACAACCACAAATTACACTCAAACTCACGAGAGAAATAAATGTAGGTCATACACATATGTCTCCCGGCACGGGAATCGATCCCGGGACCTCTGCGTGGCAGTCCGATATGGTAACCGTTCGGCCACAGAGGCAGTTGAAAGAAGATGTACTTAGGAGAAGGACATAGCGCATAGCCGCGTATGTAACATTGGTAAATGGCGGGTATCTACACAAAACTAAATTTTACAGGAGAGGGTTACTTATTACTTATTAGAGGGACGTTACTACTTTGTTATTTCAATGGCGGCGACTTTAATTTTTGCACAGTACGCTTTAATTTATGTCGTCTACGGACTGATAACAATAGATTCCAGTAAATCATGCCGATTCGGTTACCACGACACTTACGTGGATTTGAGTAGCCTGTGACTGGAAAGTCTAACGTAAGGTTCGCGGTATTGACTTCAATGGCGAACTATGATACAAGGTAAATGTTCTAGTCATCTAAAGAAAAAATAATGCGAGTAGCATAATATTTCTGCTTACTCTATAAATTTTATTAACAAAATGTTATATTCAAAATTTTAATGTATGTTAGACTGGAAAGTTAAGTAGAAAAAACTGTATATGTTTCAACAAAGAACTGAAAAAATATCGAAATTTTACATATAGATGGATATTTTGGTAAAAATTGATTGGAACTACACCGTAAATAAGCCACATACATTGTATTTTCTTATATTTCGAGAAAAAAATGTTATATTTCTTCATACGAAAAAACCTTCATAGATTTTTTCTTCGAAACTATCAATTTTTCTATAAATTAAACAAGTAGGTATTAAAGTTCTGTTTGATGACTTGCTCAGCTGTTTAAAGATCATCATCAGCTCTTTAAGAGAGGGAGAGAGAGAGAGTGGGTCGGGTGTCAGTCGGATCGGGACCGCAGCGGGTCTAATTCCATGTATTTATATGGACGACAACACACCGAGCGCATTACATGCGTCCGCGCCAATTAGGCTCGGCGCGGACTCGGCGCGGACTCGGCGCGGACACGACCCGATCCGCGCCCGACCTGCACTCGCTCTCTGTGTGTTTCTAGGGATGAGTTTCTAGTCTAGGGATCTCAGCCAAAAAATGAATATTAATTTGAATATCGGCATACCATGAAAATCCGATAACATTACAATCACGTGGTAACCAGGATTTGACGCTGCAACTAGGACAGGACAACTCAACTGAATGGTCGTGTTTGGTCTCATGGATTTAATTGGTAACGACGAGTAGTTGGCTTAGGTACAAATAGTAACTTTTGGAGTATACTTTTTGTATCGAGAATAGTTCTTTAATTTTGAATAAATACTTATCAAAAGTTTTACTATATTGGAAGATTTTCTAAGTAAAACTCGCATATACTATCTAGTCTACCTATATTTATGTCTGCAGATATCCACCCAACTCCTCAACTATTTAACAGCAGAACTATCGTCTTTGGGCTCATTAAACTGGTCTCAACGTGTAATTGGTAGCTTACAGATGGTGACTTTATGAAATTTTGGAGTACACTGCTTTGTATTGGAGATTATTGAAATTTTAATTTAAGTTTTATTTTTAATGTATTGTTACAAAATATACAAGATTCCACTCTCCTTATTAGAAATTAATTAATTATTTTTTACCGCATATAATGGTTTCCGCCCACAATTTTGGGCAGAAACGGGTTTTCAACCGGGCGGGCAGATTGGGTTTAAATCCACTGCCCATCCCTGCACCTAACGACAGATCCGCGGTATTGTTAAGAACCGATTTTTGCCTTTCTATTGCTCAATCGCAACTGGGCTTAAAAAGATGGGTCCCTATCATATCACTATGTGCACTAGCATGCAAAATTAGATTTGGCTACATGTGTCAGATACGCGGAATTATCTAATGAATGGTAGTTACGGCGCAATTGCACTATCCCCGACCATAGGCTACTTTTTGTCACAAAAATAAATCTTAAAGGGGTGAAATAGGGGATGAAAGTTTGTATGGAGAATCAATAATTTCTCAAGTAAGTAGTACAGTAGGCTACTCGAAGTACTTATTCTACGCAGACGCAGTCGCAAAGTCCACGACGATTTAGTAATCTAAACATTCACAAAAAATTAGCAGAAGATTAAAATATTTATTATAGTCCATTTGTTTAGGTACTTAACTAAATGTAAATAATCTTGATACATCTTTTTATTGAAACACATGCTTTACAAATCAATAGGTATAAAAATAGGCATGCAATTTCATACGAAGCTAAGTATTTGTATTTTGTATTTGAAGGTAAGGGAAAATCATTTTATAAATGTATATTTCATTAAATAGACCTCTCAAGATTGTTTACATTTATTTAAGTACCTAAACAGATGGACTTATAGCCTTACTTTAAAATTTCCTTTTTCTTTTCTTCTTTTTTTTTCTGTTTCAGTTTTTGCTCTTCTTGCTGTGCTAAAGATATATATTCATCAGGTGGATCCCAAGTGGTGTCTAAAAAAAGGGTTATCATTACATCTCATTCAAAAGCAAAGTTCAATTACAGTGGTAACAGGTACTTAAACAATTCAATAATCTCAGTACAGAGTATTAAAAAACCGACCTCAAAAGTTCGTGGAATTACATTCTTTGCCAAGTTTTATTGAAATCGGTTACCGGGAAGAGCGCGAAACCGGATTTAGTAGCGTAGTGTTCTGGAATACGACACTTAGTTTGCCATCTTTAGAAGCAGAATATTTTCTTCAAATTTAAATGGGACCAATGCTGTGGTACCCTCTTTAAAAAAAAATGCATCATTGTACAGTACGTCATTGTACAGAAGTCAAAAAACAGTAAAAAACAATGAGTCGAGCAGTAAAAAACAATGATGCACAGAAGTCGGCTATAGCACAACATCTCACACAGACTGACACTAACCACTGGATCGAGTTGCATAGCCTCCAGGTACTCTCGACAGAACGTCACTACATACCACGGTTGGTACGAGAAGCCATCGAGATCACGAAGTACAAAACATTTAACCGTGATGATGGTTTTAAACTGTCCAGTGTATGGAATGCGGTCCTTAGTGCGTGCAGTAATAAAAACAAAAACACCTCGAGTTCAGTTTCGCGTGTGTATACAGTGAGTGTGGTTTGTATGAAAAAAGTGAGTGACAATGGTAACGCCACAACAAATCGCGATGAAGGTAGTCGTCGACAGCGCAAGAGGGTAGACAGATATGTCTGCTCATAAAGCAGTCATTTGCCGCCGTCCAGTCAATCCGTGACCATGGAGCGTGCAACCGTTCCGAAATATCGGGAAAATAAAAAGAAGTCATACGGTGGTAAGAAACCTGATACTAGTGATAATCAGTTAGTACTTAGTTCAACAGGTATATAACCAACAAAAAATATACAATTCTGAAACATTTTCATGCATTTTAAGTTTTGGTGTCCTTTTGGAAATGTTATTTTTATTTTATTTTATATTTTATACCGTTTGTCTCAGTGTTCCAAAAGTAAGAACTCCCATCATCATTCTTAACTTCTTGCCAAAGTGGAGGAGGTTTTGGAGCTGTCTTGCTTTCAGATGTACTACTGTGAGATGCTATACTGAAAGTTGCATTAGTTTCAGTACTCCGACCTAGCATTTGGTTGATACTCTACAATATAAAAAAAAACAGATATAAATTAAGAATTACTCTATATTTAGAAGCCTTTGATTGTATATGGCTCAATTTATATTGTGCGGAACGGAATCCCTCTGCCACAATGTAAATTGAGCCTTAAGGATAAGTGGTAAATAATATTGTTTCTTAAGTCTAATTTTCTTGTGCACATGGAAATTATATCAGTTAATAGCTTGAAAATTGTTACAGCATTTATAAGGTGTTTCTACCATTTGAAAGTTAGGATTTCAAAAAAATGAGCTTATTATAATTAAATCAAACCTGAGAGGTAAGATCAGCATTATTCTGAACATCCTTCAGATAAGCAGCCATGGCTGCTGACTCCATCTTCCTCATTTCATCATCAATCTTCTCTTGCACCTTTGCATCCTTTGCACTCTTCTTAGTGAGCTTCGATATATGCTTCTGAACACTTTCTTTGTGTCGCTTGCCATTTTCATGGAATGATATAGACTGAAAGAAAATAGGACGTAAATTCCTAAATGAATTAAAAATCTTCTGATGGAATGTGACCTTGAAACATATACACTGAACTGGTGTACATTTTTTCATTTATTGACTAAGCTTGAGTAGTTCATGAACTAGGAATTGATACTTGATTGATTGTACTAAGACTGAATGAACTAGGATGAAGGATTGAGCTAGGTTTCAATTCCTGATATTGACCAAAAGGAATTAGTTCCTTTTGCATGATCTTAATAGTTCACCTGCCTGTTAGTTCCTTCAGCTCACAGACATGAGGAGAGATGGCGTGAATGAGACAATCAGTGGACTATCATTGCTTTAAGTACAAGTTCGAGTGAAATCCACAACTAAACCTTGCCAGCTCGTTTAAGACTCAAATATTAACTTATAAGTACTATAATAAACTTATTTCATATACACTTTTTTCTTTATCAAAGTTAACACACCATGTACAGGAATACATGTTTTAGATATCTATGCTTGAAAGGCAAAATGGGATAAGTGACACTTTTAGTCAACAATGAGTTATATATACTGTTGGAATCAGCTAATATTTCTGATTCCAACGGTATATTAACTCATTGTTGACCAAAAGTGTCATTTATCCCATTTTGCCTTTCAAATGTCGATATACATATTAATAAACATACATAATGTTGATGGAAAGGTGAAAGTACAAAAGTGTTATTTTGACCTTTTGGATAATTCATGGTAATTTTGCATGTCTGGCGACAATATACAATCTCAAATACAACAAATTTATGTATTTTGAAATAGAATTATGTTATAAGTTTTCTAAGAAAATAATTGTAAGTAGAAAAATGTTTATTCCAAAAATACAAAAAACAGCAAAAAGGAAATACAATTAAACATTCCTATTTAAATTAATAAATCATGGATAAGGATCATTTCATTCCCTGCCCTTCAAAGACCACAACAGTTCCTATTTTTTCCCAGATACCACTGAACTAAGGAACTAAAATTTAAGGACAAAAAATTTTTATTAGTTCATGTGTCCATATGAAAATCCCACACGCAAAATAGGCGCCTTGACGTCGAGTTGCGGACACTAGCCCGTTACACCAAGTACCAAGTAAGTGTCCATATGAACTAGACGGGATAGCTCGCTTTCAAGACTGAGCTGGCAAGTCTTTTACCAACAAAACAAAATTGTTAAGACCTTTGTTAGTATTCAATGTCAATCATATTACCATAAACAGTGATGTATGATATTCAGTGGTTATAAAACTTACGACATTGTTATCAGCAAACCAGCATTTACAAAATTCACAGTACTTGCGCGCCTGTGACTTCCAATATTCTGTCCTGGAATGTTTTAAACAATTCTGGCAAATTGATTTTGCATGAACTAGTAGTACAAATTGAAATTATTATAAGCAAAGGGTCGTATTCTAGAACTCTACTCAATGCTCAAGTAAGGACTTGAATATGATTTCAAGCACTGGAAATACGACCCTAATGGCAAGGATTTGAGCATGATTTTCAGAGCTCACTGCAATACGCAAGCATTGCACTGCTCAAGTCAGGATTTGAGCAGACTTGAGTATGATTTCAAGCACTGGAAATACGGGTCGTATTCTAGAACTCTACTCAATGCTCAAGTTAGGATTTGAGTATGGTTTAAAGCACTCGAAATCATACTCAAGTCCCTGCCATTAGGGTCGTACTTCCAGTACTTGTGTTTCCATTGCAATCCTGACTTGAGCATTGAGTAGAGTTCTAGAAATGGCAAGGACTTGAGTATGATTTTCAGTGCTCACTGCAATACTCATGTCCTGACTTGAGTATTGAGTAGAGTTCTGGAATACGACCCTAAGAAAGCATGGATACTTTCACGCCAATTGAAAGTATTTTTTTTTCCATTTTATGCTTTACTTACATTTTTATTTAATGTTTGTACTATGTTATGTGCTGTGTGTATTTTTAATAAATTTGTTCCTCTTCTTCTTTAAATTGTAAATAAATTTGTTAAGTTTATTTGGAATCAGTCAACTGCTACAATTAACTACTAAACTAATTATTAGGTTTGTGATATTAAGGTACTCACACACAGACCATTTGACATATGTCAGTCGATAAATTGTCATTTTTTAAATTATATTTAGCTTGGATACAAGTCACGAGCCAGGTCTTCATTTAATTTTCGGAACAAGGAATGTCTTAACGAAAAAAGACGACTGTAATGAATAACATTCCCGTTACATAATCGGTATACATTTCCATCCTCTAAGGTATGCATATTGTTAACAACGTCATCCAACATATAGGCTAACATCACCTGTATCTAAGTAAAAAATTTGGATCATACAAATAGCTCAGTCAGAAATATTTGTAGAAATAAACTAATTTTATTGTTTGTAATGTAAAGGCAACACCTACGGTAAAATAGTCATTATCATTTTTAATTTGGAATACTAAATTACATGAAACAGATTAAACGTCTATTGTGACTCGTTTCTCTAACTGTAAATAAGTCTCTCTTGAAGTTAGCCACATCCACCGGTCTACAGCTGTTGGCATCGAGCGGACTTTCGTAATTTTGCAATACCTTCGTTATATAACTAGTGATCAAGGCAGTTGTCACGGCGAAAACTAAATAATAAGATTGTTGCTGTTTGAGGCGCGCTCTAATAGAAGCTATCCTAATATCAATTAGTATAAATACATTAGTGAACATGTTAGCAGAGATATGGCCTTGTTGACCAACATGTTCGCTAGTGAATACGATGTTAACTCTATGTAATTTTTTTGATTATCAAAAACACCAAAATGGTAACACCAAATTAGAATGCAAAAACAAAAGTTCGTTTTTTATTGTCTTTGGATTGTTACTGTGATGTCGTCGTCGAGTATCGAGTGTCGTCGTCTTTTGTAAAGATTTATCAAGGTAATTTATGAATTGAAGTAACTATTACCTATTTCTAGCCTTCTTGATGGAAAATTTGATGTATCTTAATATCTAACTTCCGCATAATTATAAGTAATATCAAGCGAATGAGTAGTACAGGGCGGCCATATTAAAATTGAAAGTTACTAACTACGTCTTCAATTTATCCTTTGAAATCATTTCAATCATTTACTATTCGTGAGTATCATTCTGTGGAAATCTATCTAGATTTTACATTCTTTACTTATAATGTTGTAGTTAATCGTAATTACCGTTATTTTGATTCGTACGAGAAATTGTCTTATCCCAATATTTATCTATATCGCTTGTTGACGCGTCCCCCTGATTTGGTTTATCTCAAACGAGTTAGGTATACCGTTGGCTATGCTAAATCTTATTTACCCTTGTTCCAGATATTCCTGGACTAAGTTGGTGAATGAACGTGATAAACTTCTCAAATAGCATATGTATAAAAAAGTGACTTGTCGTAAAATTTATTTAGTGTTGGACTTGGATAAACATTTGTGATTATAAGTTTCTAATTTTAATAATCCCTTGTGGGATCATTTGGCAAAATGATGACCGAAAATAGAATTAGTTCGAGTAATCACGTCGGAAATAGCATGAACAATCAGAAGGGGTTTGTATTTTCCTTTGTCCTTTAAAAAAGTTTGCTTTTTTGTTGTTCATGTACTCATAATGTTACCTACCTTTGTTCTTGCAGAGACGTCGATAAAAATATCGACGACATCGGTTGGAAATCAAAATTAAAAATACCCCCAAAAGACAGAAGAATAAAAACTAGTGTAAGTTAATGTGAGCCTACTCACTATCAATTTCACAATTAAATTTAATGGTTACCCTGTTAATGAAAATATAGTGCCTATTGTACATATTGATTTGAATTTACGTTTCTTTTTTAATTTACTGTTATTTTTTAATGATTGAAATAATTTTTATGATGTTTGGAGTTTTCTTATTAGTTTTTTTTACAGGATGTGACAGATACACGTGGTAATGAGTTTGAAGAGTTTTGCCTAAAGCGAGAACTGTTGATGGGCATTTTCGAAAAGGGATGGGAAAAACCGTCCCCCATTCAAGAGGCTTCAATCCCCATCGCTCTTAGTGGTAAAGATGTGCTTGCAAGAGCCAAAAATGGGACAGGCAAAACTGGCGCTTATTGTATTCCTGTCCTAGAACAGGTATGTTCATCCTTTGATTTTTATAAACAGTGTATAAATTGCTCGGTCATCTTTGTTATCTATAGATATATTTATTAATAAATATATTTATTTATTCATTTTTCTTGAATGCGTTAAGAGTTAATCAGGTTTAATCAAATTCAAGTGATGAAATATTTGGATTCCCCTACACTTTCAATAAGTGAAATATCCATTCTGATCTCAAAATCTTAGTATTTATATGAAGTGTTAAAAATGTACATTGCTTTTAAATTATGAAGTTTAATGTTTTTAGGTTGATCCAAAAAAAGATTGTATTCAAGCTTTAATTGTGGTACCAACTAGGGAGCTTGCACTCCAAACATCACAGATTTGCATTGAACTGGCTAAGCACACTGATATTCGCGTTATGGTCACTACAGGAGGCACAAACCTTCGTGATGATATTATGCGTATTTATCAAAATGGTGAGTTTTCATTTTTGACTGTTGTTTTTGTGTGCCATAAACTATGTATGTGTGAACAGGCTTGTTTCAGGAAGTTCCAATTTATAATGTGCTGTTTGTTGATTCATTACAATCGTTCTCTAAAGTTTTGTCACATGTACACACACACACACACATTGTGTTATTCTTTTAGTGCAAGTAATAATTGCTACACCGGGCCGTATGATTGATCTCATGGATAAGCAAGTGGCCAAAATGGACCAGTGCAGGATGCTAGTACTTGATGAAGCAGATAAACTCCTATCCCAAGATTTCAAAGGCATGTTGGATATGGTTATTTCAAGGTGAGTTTATCATCTATTTTTATCATTGTTGTTTGTGTTTTGTTTGTTATGAGCTGAGCAGTGATTGGAGCAGTTAATTTACCTAAAGTATGAACATTTTCTTTGTATGGACATACTCATTTCGTCATCAATGCGTATAAAATTTCTTTTTTTTTTTCAAACATTCCAAAATACACGTAGGTTGTCTCATGTTTAATGGCTAAAGTAATTAAATACCTGTTTCTTTAGGTACAACTCATTTCGTCATCAATGCGTATAAAATTTCTTTTTTTTTCTGTTTTTTTTTTCAAACATTCCAAAATACACGTAGGTTGTCTCATGTTTAATGGCTAAAGTATTTAAATACCTGGTACTTATGTACCTAAAGAAACACAACATAATATTATTTTTTGAGACAATAACTTTGCTACTTAATAGGAAATAATAATTTGTCAGCAATGTACTTAACTTTCAATAAATAATATGCATATGCAAATATAATCAGTTCTGAGAAGTCCTGGGAGTTGAAGAAGGCGATGTCCACATTATTCTTTAGTTTAGCTAAATTAACTCCCTCAATTCCGATCACTGGTTCTGAGTTTTAAAATATACCTTTGATTATTTTAGATTACCAAAAGAACGCCAGATTTTGCTGTTCTCTGCAACTTTCCCCTTGAGTGTAAAGCAATTCATGGAAAAGCACTTAAGGGAGCCCTATGAGATTAATTTAATGGAAGAATTAACATTAAAGGGAGTAACACAGTACTATGCATTTGTGCAAGAGAGACAGAAGGTGCACTGTTTAAATACACTTTTTTCAAAGGTAATTGTGCAATTATTATAACTTCTAAGGTCCACATCATTCACATTTTGTGGTAGGCACAAGATTTGGGCTGTGTGTATTTTAATAGTACCTGTTTTGTTTCAGTTGCAAATAAACCAGTCTATAATATTCTGTAATTCAACACAGCGGGTGGAGCTCTTGGCAAAGAAGATAACAGAGCTGGGCTACTGTTGCTACTATATCCACGCTCGCATGGCGCAGGCGCATCGCAATCGTGTGTTCCATGACTTCCGCGCGGGTCTCTGCCGTAATTTAGTGTGCTCGGACCTCTTTACCAGAGGTATTGATGTGCAAGCAGTCAATGTCGTCATTAATTTCGACTTCCCGCGCATGGCGGAAACTTATTTGCATCGCATCGGGCGCTCAGGCCGTTTCGGTCACTTGGGTATCGCGATTAATCTAATCACGTACGAAGATCGGTTCGCCCTCCACCGTATTGAACAGGAACTGGGCACGGAGATCAAGCCGATCCCGAAGGTGATCGACCCGGCGCTATACGTGTCGCGTCCCGATGACGATGACACGGCCGATAAGTAACGCCGTGCCGCCGCCGCTGCAGCACCGCGCTTGCCTGTTGCGCACACTCCTAATATCTGGACTTGCTGACTGGTGAATGGAATTAGTATAAAACAACAAAAACAAAAAACTTATTTGTAAAAAGTGTAATGAATTTATTGTAACAAAAATGTGCGTGTAAATAGTTTATCGTGAAATAAGACTTTAACCTGAAAAAGGTTACTTTTTTAAAAGTGTATATAAAACGAACATCAGGACCCACAAGGAATTGCGTTCTTAGTCCATATTGGATTCTGCGCGCGATACCTACATTGTTAAAACGTAAAATATTTATCTAAATACCAACTGTGAGAGTCTACCTAGATTTGTCATTTGATCTTAACATAAATTGTGGTAGACTTACAATTGAAGTTGAAGAAGATTCCTGCCTATACGAATGTTTTGAGCTAGCACTGGTTTGATTTTCGTGTAATGACAACATTAAAAGATGTCAGATGTATAGGCAGTGATCAAGACTAGCTCAAAAGACATTGTTGTGACAATTTTTAAAACCTGTGTCAAGAATATTGTTTCTCTCCGCTTGAAACAATATTTAATTACATCAAGCCGTTGTTACTAGCTAGATTAACATAAGATGATACTTAGCAGTTATAATACTTGCCTGGTTTGTCCAGTTTAAAAAAAAATGTGAAAAATGTTATTAGATTCATATTGTGATAATCTGGTTTTCAGCATCATTGTTTGAAACTTTTTCGAATTAAGCGGTTCGTCACAGTTAACTTTGTGTGGTTACTAGGTTTCGGGGGACCCTGCTTATGAAAAGAAGAAATATATTTTATAGCAAATTTTTCTTGTTTACAAGTAAGATTTTCTAAATTGCTCATTTCATAGAAAGATCGACAGCAACAGTCCCCCCATGCCTTATTTGGAATAATAATAATTTGTTAATCAAAAAGAATTTGATCAACTGTGACAAAACAAGGCAGAGGAATGCATTATGCTGTTACGGCTTGCAGATGTGGTACATCCCTTTGTCTTTGGGGGTTTAATTTAGAGAGCTGTTGAGTTTCAATTATGCCAACATGTGTAACATTTTGCTCTCTGGGGATAAAATTCATTAGGGATGTCAAGTGAAGAGTGATTTGGTCAATGAATTTTGAATGACACGCAAGAGTATCTTTAGCTTTAATTTCACATTGAATTCTGAGATGCCTGTTTATTTGAAACCACACCTGTTTAGCCATGTTTCTTGTCGGAAAATGCTACTGAGATGTATTGAAATAGTACTGTGATAGAATATATTCTGTGAGAGCAACTTCAACTACAAACAACTTAAATATATCTGTGATAACAATTATCTTTGTGGTTTAAAGGCACAAAATACCCGGCATGTGTAGAATAATGATATATCATCTTTATGTAGGTAATATTTTGGTCTTCCAGTTAGTGGTCAGCTCTAAGCTTTAAATACTTGAATTTCGATTTGGAGCGTTAATGAAAAGACAGAAATCGAAAAATTTGAAATGTAATGGAATGAGTGTTGATTTTATTGTTAATTAGCTGGCTCAAGTCACTCTTATAGAATTTTTGGAACTGGATGCCTAATTAGTGATATATTTTATTCCTCATTGTTCTAGCCGGGTACGTGAGAACAACCGTAAATCAGATAATTTTTATAAAGATAGTATTGAGAAAAAGAATGCTTTATATTTCTTATATGTACTGAAATTATAAACCTCTTATTAGATAAGTATACTTACATTCAGTAACACTCCATATAGCTACATGTTATTCGTTTACTTTTATTCGGAATTCGGTTTGTGATCCTTTAGCTTGTGTACGAAAATGACCAAAATAAACTCTTCACGTCTAAAAAATATTTTTATTTTCGTCTCTGATGCAGTTAATACAATTTCGGAACGTGTTATTCCAGTGTGATCATAAACGAGTATTAGAAAGTCAGTCAACCATAGTTTTGGGCCATGGAAAAATTCCGCGTGCCTTATTCCAGCGTGACTAGTGCGCATGCTCGAGAATGCTCGCGCAATCCGCGAAAGATTTTGGCTCGTATCTAGTTTGTATACGTTACACATCGACTATATACGTTACACAATGACCATAAAGTTAATTATGATATGTCGTGACCGTCAGGATGGCTGGTCGCCTGTCGCATCCAGTGCCAGATGCGACTGGCGACCAGCCATCCTGACGGTCACGATATGTCATCGAGTATATAACCCTTAGAGGATGGAAAAAAATAAAAGAAATATAACCAGAAATACGAAATGTCATTTAATTTGAAAATTATTCTGCCAAAACATTACTGTGACAACTGTGCTCCGATTGGCTAGCCCGAGTTCGAAACTATTTACGGATGTCGTCAACTGTTTCACTTCAAATCAAACTAAAAAAAGCTAACTGGTCTAACTTGAGCTTTGATGGTCGAAAATTGCAAAATTACATATTTAATATTTAATTCCCGATGAAATGTGATTCCGTTTGTTTTGTAATAAGATGTTTTGGCGTTTTTCCCACACCACCGAATAGAACAGCACGGCATTGTTAGATATTATCTTAAGGCCCATTTAGATGGAGAGAGTTTCTCGTCTCGAAGATACGATTATCGAAAGAATATAAAAAAACTTTCCTCGTCTAAACATTTGCGATTATCGACCGTCCACGTGAGCGATAATCTCCTCGCCTTTCAATATAACGTCTCCGTGTAAACAGAACTCGAAAGCAAAAATCGTATTTCGAGTTTCTGTGCCAGCCGTTTCTACCACGAGTGCAGCGCGCGAGGGTGTTTTGATTATCACTGCTTTTCTAAGACAAGAATTAATGGAACAAGAGCGAAAAAAAAATTTCAAATAACGGTGAGTGAGTGAGTGCCTCTGTGGTCGAATATAGCGTGGGCAATATAGTATTTAGGGTGCTCTCGTAACGAATATGGCACTCCTTTCTAAATCCAGGATGAAAAGTCGTGCCCGCACTTTTCAAATAATGGCAAGTTGGGTATCGTTTTTGAGGTATTTGGGGGGGCTCATTACAAACATAGCATTTATTTCTAAATCCAAGATGGCCGACACGACTTTTCAAGTAAATGTACTTTTCAATAAACACTCCTCACTAACTCCCCACTCACTCCCTACTCACTCCCTACTCACTCACTCACTCACTCACTCACCACTCACTCACTCACTCACTCACTCACCCACTCACTCTCAACTCACTCACTCACTAACCACTCACACACTCACTCACTCAGCCACTCACTCACCACTCACTCACTTACCACTCTCTGACTCACTCACCCCTCACTCACTCACTCATCACTCACTCACTCACTCACCACTCACTCACGCACGCACGCACGCCCGCGCGCACGCACGCACGCACTCACTCACTCACTCACGCACTCACACACGCACTCACTCGCCCTATAAATTTATCATAATTGTCAGTTTTGTTTGTGTCAGTAGTTATAAAATTTAAAAAAAAAATGATAAATCAAAATTATATTTCTATACAGTGCAATGAACTTAATATTATCAGCAGTTTCAAATTTGAATGGTTTTTGCATCATTTTGATATATCCATAGTCATACCGCAGTAATCACTGAACTCGAATGGCAATTCTCGCACTCAAAACGGTTCGAACCGATTTGTACGATAATCGTATGAACTTGAAAAAATGTCATACGAGATCGTGTTTAGACAAGTCGAAAACTCGTAAGCAAGAATCTCCTCACTACATATTTCTCCGTGTAAACAGTCGAGGAGGCGATTAAGTTGCTTACGAGTCTCGTATGACATAATCGTAGGCGAGATTTTAGTTCTTGCCTGAATGTAAACATTATGATACGATAATCTTATGGCGATTATTGCTTACGAGAATCGCCTACGAGTTTTCGTCTCGAAGCGTGCGAGAAACTCTCCCCATCTAAATGGGCCTTTACGTGTTAGATATTATCTTACGTACACACAGGTCAGTAGTTGGCCTGTCTATATTTCAGTGCAAACGAGAGTTGATATTTATAAGAGCTGTATCGCTAATGTGTTACCAAGAATAGGTATATGGCCCTTATTTCGTCTCTATTTCTGGTTATAGTATACTCGATGTGATATGTACACACGCCAGCACATCAAGCTACACATTGTATCATGTTCCGTTGCAATGGAGGCGATTTTCGAACAAAAATGTTTAGTTTGATGTGCCGTTGTCCGTACAATATCGTTACAAAAATACGTTTCCACTCCGTTCCGCCGCGATATAAAAAGAGCCTTATGTCAATTGTGCAACATACAACAAAAAACAGGTCGCGCATCTTCCTGAGAATTCACGCGCAAGCTCGGGAATACCTGCGCATTCTCGGGAATTGCCTAAGTCGCCGTCGTCGGCGATAAATCCACAGGAAGTACCGTCAACCCTAAGTAATGTATAGGTACGCCAGCTTGTCCTTTTGTCATATAGCCCATTTTAGAATAATCATAAAAAATTAGGTTTGCAAAATGTTTCATAATAATGCCCAAAAAGTTCGTTTCTTACCTAAATCATGCACCCAAATAGAATACCTAATACCTAAGCTTTATTGCACACAAAATAAAAACAGTGGAAATACCAAACATAGTGAAAGCTAGAATTGGCGGCCTTACCGCTAGACAGCGATTTCTTTCAAATATTTTTGTTTTTCCTTTTCTTCGGCTTCAAATAAAAAAAAGAAATAAAAATATCATTCAAGTCATGATAATACTTGGGACCAGCAACTGACTACACCTACTACACTTTCACAGCGCAGTCGGTCGCTAGAATTCACTTGAGTACCTTCGGCAGCAATGTAAATTGAGTTGAGACGCAGTCAATTCTAGTAAAAGCGACCAATTTTAAAATTTTACTACTTAAGGGTCTTTCAACAAGAACTTTGTTTTCTAAAACAAAATAAAACAAAAAATTTAGATGAAGATGATTCAAATTTTTATTGTATTACAAAGAGAAAAGTTCGGCAATTATGAATGAAAAATGATATCTGGCAAATGTCCACCACGACCACGCTGACAGAAGTCGATTCTTTCATCAAAATTTTTAATCACTTTTTGGCAAAATATCGGGTCTATTTCGGCTATCACATCACGGATTTTGAGTTTTAAGGCTGTAGTCGATTCGAATGGCTCCGTATAGACTCTGTCCTTAAGATAGCCCCACAAAAAATAATCCAGTGGTGTTAAATCACACGATCTGGCTGGCCATTTAACAGCTGAATTTCGGGAAATTACGCGATCAGCAAATTTGGTTTGCAATAAATTGATCGTCTCATTGGCTGTGTGACATGTGGCACCGTCTTGTTGAAACCACATGTCAGTGATATCCATGTCATCAATGCTAGGCCAAAATTGAGTTGTTAACATCTCGCGATAGCGTGATCCATTCACCGTTACCGCATTTCCAGGCAGAACTGAATTTATTGTTTCTCAAAATATTCTCCGTTACTGTTAATGCAATTTTTCATACGAATGAACCAATTTTGAAAACATTTATGCCACTCCGTGACAATCTCTGAAACATATTTTTCATACTCTTCGATAGCCTCTTCAGGTGATGAAAATCGTTGACCGCGTAACTGGTTCTTAATTTTTGTAAATAAAAGTCACAAGGTGCCAGGTCGGGACTGTACGCGGAATGGCTCATAAGGTCAACGTTGTTCACTTTAAAAAATTCATTTGTCTGTCTCGTCCGATGGTGCAAGATGATACGGCGTTAACGGTTATTTTTACGGAGTTTATCAATAACTTTCGGCAAACAAATGGTCGTGTACCAATCACTATTCACGTACAACATTTCCCCAAAACAACAGTAGCCACGTGTCCAGTTTTATTAAAAAAAGAAGCAATCAACTGCCTCCGTGGCCGAACGGTTACCACGCCACGCAGAGGTCCCAGGTTCGATTCTCGGACCGGGCGACATATTTGTATGACCTACATTTATTTCTCTCGTGAGTTTGGGTGTAATTTGTGGTTGTCTATGTGTGTGTCCATGGCACCCGTGACACAGGGTTTCCCTAGTGCGGGGCTATGTTGAGTGTGTGCGTTATTATTATATTAATCATCCGCTTAGAGGCTCTTTGCACGCGCGCCACTTTGGTAAGTTCGGCTCATCTCGAAAGACCCATACGTTAGATTGTTGCTTTGTTTTGGGATCGTAACTATAAATCTGTTTCGTCACCTGTTACTATGTCCTACACCAAATTTGACGCCCCTTCGTTGAATCTGGTAAGAATGGCATTGAAGTGACATGATCCGTTTTTTACGTTACGTTAACTTTAACTGGTCATGCCTAGAATGTTGAATAAAAAATCAGTATATCGTAAGAGTATAATATTATAATAGTATAATAGGTATTCGCTCGTGTCCCACAGCGGGCGCTTGCGCCCTAAGTAGTGTATATTATTAAATTCAAATTAATTATAGTATACTCACAGTAACAAAAAAGATGAGGACAATCGCCAAAAAAAAAATTATTGAAGAGCAAAAAACATAGTAAAGTGCAATTCAAAAACTAAAAATATATGTAAATAACTACGATATACTGTGTTGTACCAGCGTATCAAATCTGATAAATAATTATACATTTTTGAAGTTATAATAAATATACCCACCCAGATCAGGGGGTCTTTTATAAATGTAACAAACCACTCGGGTTGAAGTCTAACCGAAGAGTGAGACATAGTCAATCACTCATTCATCTCAATCGAAATCATACGTTCAGAACGGTAATTCTACAGAGTACTTATAAACACATTTTGATATCCTAATTAACGACACCCCCACTATATCAAAATATCTAGATTAATTACAAATTAAACTACTAAGGCACTAGTCCTAACATGAGCAGAAATCTACAATGCTTAGTCACATTTAGACTCTTAGTCAGCAGATCCGCAGGCATATCTGCTGTAGGTACGTATAAAGTTTTAATTAACTTGTCAGCTACACTTTCACTACAAAAATGATAACGCACGTCAATGTGCTTAGACCTCTTGTGAAAAACAGGATTGGTTAGCAACTTTTGAGCACTTTGGTTATCATTATACAGAGTAACAGTATACATATCACTAGTTATTTCAAACTGCAAATTTCTCAAGTAAATGGCTTCTTTACAGGCCTCGGAAATACTCCTGTATTCCGCTTCAGTACTGGACAATGCAATCGTTTTTTGTTTCTTACTCTCCCTTGAAATAGCACCTCCAGATAACATAATATTAAAATAAGACCTCCTATCCCCTATATCATGTACCCAGTCAGCATCTACAAAGCCTTCAATTTCTGTTTTACCAAATTTACTATATTTTAAACAATAATTCTTAGTCTTTTTTAAATATCTAAGAATACGTTTTGCATACAACCAATGCAGCTCGTCATATGAGTTATTGAACTGACTCATATAAGACAACGAATACATGATATCAGACCTAGTCATCACGGCCAGGTACATAAGACTGCCAATGAGCTGCTGATATGGATATTCGCATTTGCAGTCCCTAGCTTTCTCTAGAATCAAATGTTCCTCCATAGGAGTTTCAGCAACCTTACACTCAGTCATATTAAACTTATGCAACAATTAGTCAATGTAACTTTCCTGATCTAATGTGATTACATTATTAACTTTGTCAATATTAACGTTCATACCTAGACACTGCTTGATCTGTCCTAGATCTTTTAAGTTAAATTGTGAAGAGAGAGCCTGCTTTAACAACTCTGTTTCATGTCGATCATTGGAAAAAACGAAGATATCATCAACATACAGAGCAATTATGGTTCTCAAACCTTTTGCTACATTTCACATTTATATGTGAATGGACACATTTATTTTCACATTTATATGGAGCCATGTTTATACATGGCTCCAGTTTTGATCTAGCATAACCACTGTTAACTAAGCAGTCATCTACTCTCCTGTACCATGCCCTTGAGGATTGTTTGAGTCCATATATGGCACGTTTTAGCTTAAGCACCTTACCGTCAGTATCATCATCAACAAAACCCTCAGGTATCTGCATGTAAATAGTCTCCTCAAGAAAACCGTTCAGGAAAGCAGTTGTCACATCTAAGTGTGAGGTATCTAAACCTAACTGAACAGACAAAGCGAATAAAAGTCTTATGGTCGTATTCCAGAACTCTACTCAATGCTCATGTCAGGACTTGAGTATTGCAGTGAGCACTGAAAATCATACACAAGTCCTTGCCATTAGGGTCGTATTTCCAGTGCAATCCTGACTTGAGCATTGAGTAGAGTTCTAGAATACGACCCTCAGAGTTGTATGCCTTATCACCGGCGAGAAAGTCTCTTGATAGTCCACACCCGGTTTCTGTGTAAAGCCTTTGGCTACTAATCGTGCACGGTAACGCACATGGTTTTCACTATCATACTTTTTTTAAGAACCCACTTGCACTGCACAACACTAGCCTTATCTGGAACACTAACAAGCTCCCACACTTCATTTTCTTCAAATCTGTTTAATTCGTCAGCTATTGCTTGCTTCCAGTGCGCTTTCTCTGGCCCTTTTAAAGCTTCTGCCAGTGATAACCCGCTGGCATCATCAACACTATCTGCTATACACATATTGGATATACCATATCTCTCAGGTGGGCGCCTAACTCTCTGAGGCCTTGTTTTTATTGGAGTGCTTGTATCTTCTGACGTGTCAGCACTCTCATATTCACTTGGAGTAAATTGATCATCTGGCAAGTCTACTACGATTCTAGGCTTATTTTCACACTCGTCCCCCACTGAAACTTCATTTTGTTTTAAGTCTTCCTTCTGGTTACTGTTAAAATCTTTCTTTTCTTGTATCTCTATGACACAATCAGAGTCATTAGTCTTCTCCATAACAATCACATCTCTACTGTTAAATACAGTTCTAGTATATATCTAGTATCTATACAAGATACATTTCAGAGACTTTTTGTCCCACTTGCGTCTCTTTTCTTTGGCAACATGCACCATTACTGTACTACCGAATATTCTTAAGTGACTCAATTCTGGCTTGGTGTTGGCCCAAATTTCATATGGCGTTTTTTCGTGTAATCCTGCTGCTACATTTCTATTGCGCAGATAGACCTCAGTGTTTGCAGCCTCTGCCCAAAATTCCAAGTTTAAACCACCATCGTAAAGCAAGCACCGTGCCTTCTCAACCACTGTTCTATTAAGTTGCTCACACAGACTATTCTGTTGGGTGTGTAAGGGTTACTCCTCTGGTGAATGATTTCACTTTCTTTTAGGTAATCATTAAACAGATTATTACAGAACTCACGGCCATTGTCACTCCTTAAGATTTTAATCTTCTTGTCAAGCTGGTTCTCAACTTTTGCCTTAAATTGCTTGAAACAGTTGAGAGCTTCACTTTTGTTTTTAATGAAATAAATAAATGCCATACGACTGTAATCATCAACAAATAACAGGTTGTACCTGGATCCCCGATAAAAGCTACTTCCATGGGGCCACAAATCTCAGTGTGCACTATGTTCAGTAGCGTCTCACTCCTATTACCTTCATTACGGAATAGCAAGTGACATTGTTTTCCCTCACAACATAGCTTACACGATGACTTGCTTATATGATTCAACTTACCAACAATGTTGAATCCTTCCACTGCATTCTGCATTTTACTCATATAAGCACCATTTACATGCCCCAGGCGGCGATGCCAGGTATCAGCAGACGCAGCCGTGGCAACAGTCATATCTTCAGGCATGTTTAATTTATAAACGCCATTTACCAATGACGCTGTTGCTACTAAATCTCCATTTTTATTGTTAAACTAAAACTTTCATAATTAAAATCTACTTTCTTGCCCTTGTTTATCAACTGACTTACGGGTAACAAGTTTGTGGTAATATTCGGAACGCACAACACGTTTTTTACGACAATGTCATATTCGCAGTTTTCTGTTAAAGTAGCAATATGCACGTCACCACTGCATAATACAGGAACGCTTTCTCTGTTTGCTACAACAATCTCGAATGGACGGCTCATACGAACCATTTTTAATCCAAATTTCGTTTGCTGTCAGGTGGGCACTAGCTCCAGAATCAACATACCAATCATTGACTTACAATTATTTGTAAGTCAATGATACCAATCGTTTTTCTTAAAATTGCCACTTAAAAATACAGCACTGAAAGCATTTGTCTGTTTTCGCGAGTTTTTTTTAAACATCGATGAACTATTTTCAGCATTTGGACACTGATTGCGGTATAAAGCATTTTATAACTTTCAAATTTGACGTGTTACCGCCATCATACTTATCGCCATAGATAGGCTTATTTTTATTTTTCTTATGTTGATAATTCGAACTGACAAATGCGCTTTCAATTTCATTCGTTCTATTCCCGTTGAAATTCAAAACCGGATTCTTTTCTTCCATGTCGAGAAGTTTTGTTTTAATGGCGTCTGTCGTAATAGAAATTCCCGAATGCTCAATCGCCATAATCATAGGCGAAAATTTATCAGGCAATCCTGCTAATAAAAGCGAGCCAAACCATTCATCACTGATGTGAACACCCGTTCCACTAAATTTTTGGCCATTTTCTACAACTTGGGTCACATACGCCGTCATAGAATTGTAATTTTCAAGTAATCCTTCTGGAAAAACCCGAATCATCAAATAGGTTTTTAAGTTTCTTCCACAACTGAGACGTAGTTTTCACATCCTTTACATGGATATACAATGACGAGTCGATAGTTAAGATCAACTTCGCTCTGGTTTTCTGATCATCGGCAGCTCCTGTTCCTTCAGTACCGGGCTCTTCCTTTATAAATTTCTGCATGCCCTCTAGGATCAGAAAATTCTCTGCTGCGAAAACCCATTCGCTATAATTTTCACGCCCCAACAGCTTCGGTACGTTAGCAACGTAATTAGCCAACATCTTCGGTACTCTGTCACAGATTACTCGCGAAAATAAGTATTTCCTAACTGGTAATCTAATCCTTGACTAGCACTAAAAACCCTTTTTGAAAAAAAAACATGAGTGCCCATAACCTTTTATAAATGTAACAAACCACTCGGATTGAAGTCCAACCGAAGAGAAGAGTGAGACATAGTCAATCACTCATTCATCTGAATCGAAATCATACGTTCAGAACCATTGACTTACAATTATATGGACGTCGGGTCCGCGCTAAAAAGTGTCCGCACTTGTAAGGCGCTAAAATCGTATACAGAGCGCGACACTCCGCTTTAGTCTTCATTTGTTCTACGGACAGCGCGATACTGCGATGACATAACAATTTAACTTTCGAATAGGTTGACTTGGGACATTTTTTTCGTGGTTTTTGTATTAGACCCGTCGTCCATTTATTTGTAAGTCAATGTTCAGAACGGTAATTCTACAGAGTACTTATACAGGAGGGCATAAACACATTTTGATATCCTAATTAATGACAGGGTCTACTCCCGCCAATTATATATTAGTCTATGTACTCCCGTTCGAAATCCGAAATCCGAAACAAATATTGTCAAATAAGTACCTAATACTCGAGTCAAAAGACAATATCAAGAGTATTACTTAAATGACAGTAATTGTTTCGGACGGATGTTGGACAGAGAAAGGGAGTAGACCCCCAGATTCAGGTTCTCCGACGTTGTCAGTAAACCAACGAAATCGTATGTATACAGTTTTTAAACACTTAAATCAAGTATATAAAAATGGACCCCAACATAATTGTTAAATGTAATAAACCGCGTTATTTTGTTTTGGTATAGTCTTCCCCTAGGCGTGGTGTACGCAGATGTGTACTTAATGGTCTCTACGCATTATTAGCAATCGATCAGTTCAGAATTTCAGTACTAATATTAAAAATATAAAACATATTAATTAAAAAAAAATATTTTAATGTAAAAATCAGTCAATATAATTTAAGTACATTAGAAAATTAGCACACCAACCGTTACGCCTAATTCAAACACGTAACGATAAATATTAAATAACTTGTTGACTTAATGTCTGTTATAAATGAGCCAATTTTAATATTAATTCATAACTTCTTAAAATGTCATTATTGTTTAAATACTATTTGAAAAAAAAAAAATGTCTTGAAAATAAAGAGTAGCTATCAAGTTTTAGTTTCATAAATAATATTTTGTAAAATGTCTTAATTTAATGTCATAACAAAAGTCAATTCAAGTGGCTGGAGGCAAGAGCACCACAAGTTGACGCTTTGGACTTTAGACCGTTCTTATCGTAAGCGGCGTAGAGATCAATTTAAATCTTAAGCGTCCAGCTTGATGCGCTCTTGATCCTGTATAAAAGTAAGTTAGAAAGTAAACTAAAATCCAAATAAATCATTGAAAAAATGCACTTATGTAATTACGTAGCTGCCTTCAATCAATAAAATTTATATTTACGATATTTGTGATTTGTATTTTAAGTACAAAATGCAATTATAAAAAAAAACAACGACAGCTTTTGATTTTGTAGTAAGAGTGAGCGAAAACGTTTGCAGTGTCGTGGACTGTCATTTCTCAAAGTAATTAGTATTTAGTTAACTGCTCATAAATATGCAAAGGTGTTTTGATTTATTTCGTTGTGTACACGCTCGTTACTGACATCGTTGATATCTACATGTGTACAAAAAGGTGGGCGATGGAATTCATTAGTTTCGTCTCAGGTACCCTAGTTTTACAAGATACAAATAAATTAATAAAATTATTTAAAAGTACTACAGTACATTCCAAAAAAATACTTACATGTTTATGTTATTGTTTTTTTGAAGATGATTCCAGATCGAACTGCAGCATACATATATATAGAAATACACACACAAAAAATATTCATACATATCTGTGATATTCAGTTTAACTACGTCTATCATCATATCATATTACATTAAAGTAATTTTAATCATAACAGTGATATTAATTTCTTCAGTTGAACTTATTTGATTACTTAAGCTTATTAGGCAGTTCTAAAAACGTGCCGTTTAAACCTGTCATGTAATAATGTAGAGATATACACATAATTATACCGAAAAGTGGTGAATAAAACATTATTGAGAAAAAGAGAATACAAATCATTTTATGCCCAATGAGCGATTTTTAACTGAAAAGCGTACATACAATACGTTGCATAGAAAGTAATAGGCCCAAATTTAATAAAGTGCACTTTGTATAGTTTTCTTAAAAAATATGTTCCAAATTAAAGTACTTTGGTACTATACAAGTAATTAATCTTAGTTGTCTTGAGAAGTAAATTTTTCGCGGTTTTTTTTTCAAATGTCGCTTAACTAGTATCCTTATGCACATAATTTATGGCAAGATATCTTTCTTAAATTTAATATACTTACGTTAACGAAGTTATGAGATATGTGACTTAAGTAATAGCAACGTAATACTATGTTGCGCACCTTTTGTTCTTTTGTCTTATTTTTAATTTGCAATGCGTTTTGAGGCTGTAATGTTTTGGACAATATTATAATACTTGGCTTGGCTCAGACGAAGGCCCGTTTTCTAACAGTAACGAGTTTTTTATTACTATTGCTAATGTTTATTCTATAGAGAGATGTGGCATTAGAAGTTCTGGGGGCGGAGTGAGGCCGGGCTGAAGTGTGACAGCCACGCCGCGGTTCAGGGAAACCGCCGGGTAAAAAGCGCCACGAAGACCCGTGAATGCGATGTCACCCTAAAAACAAAACTGAATTGCAACGGTTCCCGATTTGGAAATTGACCACTCGTTTATCTACCCATGAATGAAGTAGAAACCAGCTATGAGATGTATCTGTAATATCTATACAACCTGCTTGTCAAGTGTATCGATTATTTAGATTATTGCCAATGGAGTGACCATTGGCATCGAATTTTTTACGATTGGAAATTTCATGGTATTTCATTTATTTGCTACAAAGATGGTGGTTAAGTCAAGATAACAAAGTAATATAGTGAGTACGAACTGCCGTCCACTAACTAAAACGAGGCTAAGTGACAAATGGTCAAATCTTCGTTTTAAATAGAAAAAGATAGAATACAAAATCCTCCTTTTATATAATCAGTATTACATTAATAATGTGCATTTTAATGATAATAGTCACATGTACTTCAATTTACTTAAATTCTTTTATATAATAACAATTACTCAAAAATTTCCCTAACACTATAATATACTTTATCTTTCAACAATTCATATAATGTTATAATTATTAATACAAAGATCGAACACTCAGAAAAAATTCCTTCGATCCGGTCGGATTCGAACCGACGTTTTCTTGCATACCGTGCCAGACGCTATACCAACTAAGCCACGGAACGAACCTACGAACGGCGCTACGACTAAAAAGTCGTTGAAAAACGAAATACAAAGACACGACGCAAGCACATTGAAAAATTCGTGAGGTCCGTTGGTTCGTTCCGTGGCTTAGTTGGTATAGCGTCTGGCACGGTATGCAAGAAGACGTCGGTTCGAATCCGACTGGATCGAAGGATTTTTTTCTTAGTGTTCGATCTTTGTATTAATAATTATAACAAACTAGTGGAGTAACTTCACAATAAATAATTGAATATCAATTCAATAAAAATTTAATTAATACAGTGGATAGCGACATCTCTCGTCAGGACTGGTAGCTGTAAAGGTACTAAATTGATAAATCTGTCATAGATTTCTCATAGATGGCGCTACGACTAAAAAGTCGTTGAAAAACCAAATACAAAGACACGACGCAAGCACATAGAAAAATTCGTGAGGTCCGTTGGTTCGTTCCGTGGCTTAGTTGGTATAGCGTCTGGCACGGTATGCAAGAAGACGTCGGTTCGAATCCGACCTGATCGAAGGAACTTTTTCTGAGTGTTCGATCTTTGTATTAATAATTATAACAAACTAGTGGAGTAATTTCACAAAAAATTATTGAAATTCAATTCAATAAAAATTTAATTAATTCATATAATTTCGTCTTAAATAATTTAATGGGCCAGTCTTTAATGTCATTTGGTCATACTCTATTGTAAATTCTGAAACACATGCACAAACAGGTTTGATTATATTTTTCTGACTTAGGAACTTCAAAAGTAATTTGTTAGGATTTCTGTAATTTCGAGGGTTGATCTCAATATTTTTAGTCAACAAATGTAAATTAATTTTTACAAAAATGTTGGCCACATAAATGAGTGGATAAGTGGCTACTTCGCGAAGGAATTGGATGGCAAAGCCTTGGGGATTTAACCCTGTGTATAATTACACTTTGCGTACAATTGGTATACAAAGGGTGGATAATTATTGTAGAAAAACAAAGGTTCAAACCATCGAGTATATAACCAGAAATAGAGACGAAATAAGGAGCCATCCATCCCTGGCAATTCATCAGGCAAATGGGTCTTGTATCACTTTTAAATATCAACTCTCGTTTGTACAGCGCCAACAATTGACCTGTGTGTACGTCTCCGTATATTCCAATAGATATTCTGTATTTATTGTAATAAAGATTATTTTCAGTTTTATCTGAATTATGGGCTGTTGTGGAACAGCCCTGTTTGTCTGAAGTTTTGCTGTTTTTCCCACGCCACAGACCATTCTGTCAAAAACTGCAAAACATCTAATTACAAAACAAACGGAATCACATTTCATCGGTATTTAAATACTAAATATGTAAATTATCAATTTTCGTCCATTATAGCATAGCTCAAGTTAAACTGGTCAATTGAAGTGAAACAATTGACGACACCCGTCAATTGTTGCGCCGTCAATTGTTGCGAATTCGGGCTGGACAATCGAAGCGCAATCGTTACCGTAATGATTTGGCAGAAGAGCTTTCAAACAAATTAAATGACATTTCGTCTCTATTTCTGGTTATATAGTCGATGGTGCAATCATACCTGGAGCTGTCCGTCAACGGTGAATCTCAGTGTACCGCGTGTGAGGTCGAGCAGCACCCCGACGGTGGCGCCGCGCGCGATGCCGCCCGCCGCGCGGCCGCCGTGCGCGCCGCCGTGCACGAACCACGACCGCGACGCGTCGATGTACATCGCCCAGCCAAGTGCGTCGCTGCCTGTACAACAGTTTGTCGGTTTTTTTGACTAACAATACAGTTATCATAAGTGAGAATGTTACGGCTAAAACGCGTGGGAAAAAGTTAGTTTATTCGTTAAGGACAAGAAAAAAATTCATGTTCTCTGTATGACCGCACCGATTTAATTTTTTAACCAGCTTCAAAAAAGGAGGTTCTCAATTCGACTGTTTTTTTGTATGTATTTGCGGCATTTGTGAACAGATTTTGATGATTCTTTTTTTTTTGTTGGAAAGAGGGTGCCTCAGTATTGGTCCCATTTAAACTGGAATAAAATATCGCACCTCTAAGGTTGGCATACTACGGGTGAACCCGGTTTCGCGCACTTTCCGGTAACCGATTTCAATTAAACTTGGCAAATAGATGTAATTCCCCGAAAATTTGAGGTGGGTTTTTTTAGTACTCTGTACTGAGATTATTTTATTGGAGGAGAAGTATAGTTCAGTTTCGACTCTTAAGAAATATTGTAAGACCTGAAGTAAACTAACCCAGCATCTTATCCCTCGCAACTTCAGCTCGAGCAATTCCAAAAGCAGGATCAGCATCACCATCATAGTCATCAATGCGCAGGCGCCAGTAGTGGCAGCCGCGCGCCAAGGGCTGGTCGGCCAATGCCACCCGCGGCTGCCAGCCTCCAGCGCGAGCTGTTAAGCCCGCTGCGTCTAACGATAATGCACCCTCGCCTATTGCGCAGCGAGTGTCCCAGGTGAACCACGCCACTACATGTAACAAAATATTTTGCACTAAAAAGCGTTCGCTCAAAGTGGTACTTTAACAAATGTATTTTTATAAATTTTTTTAGACAATTTAGAATTCAATTTTAATTGGATTGCGATAAATTTGTATATGATGTATGCATAATTGTGGATAACTGGAAAAATAAAGGATTATAGTCACTATTAATATACATGTGTATTTAATTTGATTTATTTTGTATTCAAAGAAACATAAAATCCTCAACTAATTAGTCAATATAGTATCGAACCTATATCTTGCGAGTAGATCAGTGATCAGCAGTGGTAATGTTGAAAAGTCATTGGCGTCCCTAAACATGCAGTTCTTAAGGAACAGAACTGATCTCTCCCTTAAGAGCTGTATCTTAGTGGACATAAATCTTGTCTACTGGGACAAGATTTTGTTTTTGTCCATTCATGCCTTTACCATAGTCTATCCATAATACGTTGCCATACCTGGTGATGTTTGTAGGCCGATGACTTCACTGTACGGTCCTTCCCCTGCTCCATTGAAGGCTTTTACGCGAGCGCTGTACAACGACGCGTAGTGCAAACCGTCTATAGTGCAAACTGTTTCTCTTCCACAGTATACTTCCTAAAAATATAATCGAGTTTAAAAATTTTTGTATAGAATTTTTTATTAATAGATCCTTTACAATGTTAAAAATATTACACGAATAAAGGTGCTTACTCGGAAAGGTCCCCCAAGGCCGTCGTCCAGCTCGAGTACGTATCCACGTACAGCGGCCGGCGCAGCGGGAGGTCGCCACGCGAGCGTGCACGAGCATCCGCGCGCCGCGCATGCTTCCACTGCCATCTCGGGGGCACCCGGAGCTAAATGGAAAAGAACTTACTTAAGATAATCATAACCTAGGGATAGCTTGTATATAGTAGGAAATAAGAATAGACTTTTGACACCTAGAATCAATAAATAATCTTTATCATTAGACTTAAGGAGTGCCCATCGAATTTAAAAAAAATGTGGTCTCGGCATGTTATGTAACATTGTTCATTAATATTTACAGGTAGCATTTATTTCATAAAAATATCGGTTTTATGCTTTGATGATTAAAATAATGAGAAAAGTATATTATAGGAGCTAATGTGTTTTGATGAAAGCATTAGCACTGGACAATCATACTTCGTACAAGATTTAAAAAAGTACTTAATTAACATTAGATTTTCTGTGATTCCACTTGTTATTAAGTTATCAAGTACAGCAGAAGTACGTTTTAACTAAATAGATTCATGAACAGTTCACAATACCTGGTAATTTCATATCTTTCTCTGGTGCTGCAATTCCAATGTTGGCATAACAAACAATTTAAAATATTTTTACAATTTGTGATTCTGTTGATTGACTAATGACTTACGTTAGATGCAGATGAAAACTTACGTATGCATTCAACAAAGTTCATAGTATTCACTGTGCGAAGGACTGGTTCTATGTCGAGGGTGAGAGCGGGAGGCGCGGGCGGCGGGTCCAGAGACGAACATATTGTAGACGCGGTCTCTTGTGCACGCGCCGACAGGATGTTACCCACCTGTTAGGAGTAATATTGATTTAACACGTTAGGAAGGAACAAGTGTTGTTCTTCAGAACAGTTGTCTGAGTCCTGCTACTGAAGTTGAAGACTTGTACCACGCATAGGGTAATAATGGAGGCAGAATGTTTCTAGAAGTTGACACAATTGGCGGGACGGTATGGCAAAGGATCCTTCGCCGTACCTATATACGAGCACACACTGACGTTAATTACGCTGCGGTATCCTTAGATATGCCGAAGCGTATACAGTCAATTATCGTATTCGCGCCTGGCCATGATCAATCGTAACGCCAAACATAAAAGCCTACCAAAGCATCCCGAAGGCTGTTGTGGCATGCGGGAGGCTGTCGGCTCAGTATTCTACAACATACCGCAGCTTTATTTTCGTAGCTATAATGCGACAATTATCATTGAAATTTCACTTAAAATAAGGACGAAACTATTTTTTCGGATCTATATAGAGCATAAAATATATTGTTTTTTTTTAGAAACAAACCAACGTTTGGGTTCCTTAACGTGTCCCATGGTCATCATGCCAGGCTACATATCTTGAAAAAAAAAAAAAAAAAAAATTTCCGGATTTTCGCGATTGTTACACATAGGAAATAGGAAATGTCCTATGTGTAACAATCGCGAACATCTAATATTTCAACTATAATTAACTTTAAGATATATTATTCAACTAAAAATAACCTTTCGTGCCGTGCCTAAGCTGTAATGGCAGCAGTGAGAGGTATCATCATTTCAGGCGGAAGACGTCCACTGCTGAACATAGGACTCCCCCCAAAGATTTTCAGACTAGTTGATCGGACGCGGCGTGCATTCATCGGTTACCCGCCGCCCTTACCATCCGTCCGTCTACTAGGGGGCCGTCCCACTGAATGCCTTCCGGTTCGTGGTCTCCATTCGAGAACCTTTCTGCCCCAACGGCCATCAGTTCTACAAGCTATGTGCCTTGCCTACTGCCACTTCAACTTGCTAATCCTTTGAGCTATATCAGTGACTTTCGTTCTTCTACGGATCTGTCTCATCTGATTCAATTAGTTTGAGAAACGCCGAGCATTGCTCGCTCTATTGCTTATTGAGTGACTTTGAGCTTTTTTATGAGGCTCATAGTAAGCAACCACATCCCGCTGGCAACACGCACTGCTTGAAAAAAAGAGGTATAGATTTGCAACTTTCAAGTGACAAAAACAAGAAAGGCCAAAGGTAAAGGTAGTGTGATGTGGTCAAGCACCAAATCTACCTCTTGTTTCTGGTCTAATTCTTTGCAATAAATGAAAAAGGTATTTTGTTAAAGAATATTTATCATTAATTAAGAATAATCATTTATTAAAAATAAATGCACACACAAAATGCTAAAGGCCATGATAGTATTTATATATACATATAACCATGCTTTAACATTCTTTATCACTAAATACATCACTCTAGATAAGAAATATAAAAATGTCAAACTAATGAATGTTTTGAAATGATAACACATTGCTCATAACATCAATAAACTTTGGGGGCCATTTTCAGTGTGATAACAAGGCTTCTTGTATAATGTGTAAATGGGTCAACTTATATATATATGTATTTCACGTGAGAATATTCACAACAATGAAATAATAGACCTTATATACAACACATAATATTATTTGATAACATCACGATAGATAATGAAATATAAATTGTTGATTTGTTATTTTAATAAAGTAGGTGTCTATAGCACAATGAACAATGAACATTCACTATTGTTTGTTGATATTCCTTTTGTACAGTTATGAGCGCTGCACAAAAACTGCTTAAACATGAAGATGATTCTACTCACAACCAACAATAAATTAAATGGTTACCTGTAAAAAAGCTGCAGGATCAGATTCTTTAAGAGTTTCTATAGAGAAATGCAGTAGCGCTGTAGCTTCTCTTAACTTTTGAGCTGCCTGTGATGTCAGTGTGCGCATGTTGCTCACGGCTTGAGATCTTGTATTTCTCGCCGATCGGATTAATTCATCACGTCTTCTCTGTACTGCGTGAGTTACTTCTGCACATGCTTGATCAATCTGTCTCTCCAATTCTTCACATGACTCCTGTAATATTAATATTTTAAATTGTGCTCTTTATACACGGGACACAGATAGACTGTCCAGATTTCAGTTTGGTTGAATTTAGGAGGTAGTCGGCACAGTATCATGAATAATCATAGAGTGCGTGTAATATATCTTACATTAATTTTGTCTCCTGATCCTTTGACTAGTTGTATATATTCTGTCATTGCTTTTGCCTGTTCAGATAGTTGCTGCAGTGATTGTGACAATTCAGTCTGCAAAAAAAAAACCAGATTGGATGTTTTGAGAAAAATTAATAATGACATGTGTGTGTGGACATGATTTTTGCCAGTTGTAATAACTGTACAAGGTTTAGTACAAGTTGTAAAGCATTCTTTGAAACATGTCCTGGAATTTGTAAATACAATATTATTAAAAAACTACACCAGCTAAGGTGCGGTCTCTCAATTCTCACACCTAAGCTTCCACTTCTGGGCAAGTATTTAGTTTTTTTAACAGAAATTTAGTATTTTGTTAACATAATGGTGTATTTTGTTAACAGAAATTTAATAAAAACCCCATTACACAATAAACAAAATGTAATTTGGCAATTATTAATCATTACACTGTTCTTTATATGATCCCTGAGAAACCACAATTAAAAAACGTATGAGTAAATAAATTTTATATACATACATATATATATACACATACACCCTGCAAACATCAGTAAAAATCACAAGGAAGATTGTAAAAGTAAAACAAAACCATGATTACTATTATTAAAAATTCATATTACCCACCTTATGAGCTCTAGCTGCACTAGACAGTTGCTGTGTTTCATGTGAATTGTGTTTCTCAGCAAGGCATTGCTGGCAGATAGGGACCAGACAGGTGTTGCAAAATAGTGCTGGAGTCGAACCATGGTCTGCACAGGTCGTTCCTAGCGTCCGGAGCTCATGTTGCGCTAAGGGGCCACGAGTGGGGTGCCAGGCATCTCGGCAACCTCCGCAATACCTCACTGAACACTGCTCGCAGCGCACCACAGCCGCGCGTCGCTCCCCTTCGCACATCTGACAGGCCTCTTCGGCTGGAGGAGCACCACTGACGCCCCCGAAACGTTCCACAATCGTCCGCATAACCCGGAAGGGAGGAAGACCTTCAGCTCCATTTTCGTCTAAGTACACTTGCTTGTTGCAAACTGGACACGACAGACTAAATGCTACGGATGGACATGCTAGTGCGGCGGGCGTTCCTGCGTAACTGTTAGGCCTTGATCCACATACTACACCGCTGTCAGTCTCGCTAGACACAGAAGCTTTGTCTGCTTCTTGATAATCATTTGAACCGGAATTTTCTGCTTCAGGCACATGAGTTTGAAGGGTTACAGCACAGATACGACATAATGCATGTCCGCACGGCAATAATACTGGTTCTCTGTAGAATTCTTTGCAAAGATAACACCTGAGCTCTTCTTCCATTGTGAAGTTCCTATTAGAACGTTTATTTCTTAACTATGTACTTCATTTGAGTTTATGTTTTAGCACTATTCAGTTTATGGTATTTATTAAACACTAAAATATTGATATAATTCATTCTTATTTATGTTATCATTAATTTTTTAAATAAAAACACAACGTCCTGCCGCAAGCACTACATTCCAGCGTTCCCCTTTCCCCCTCAAGCCCTCAACCTCACCTCAACTCAATCAAATCAAAGCTTTTTTTTTTATTGCTGGCCATGAAAACAAAGTCCTTCAGCCGTCAAATCAAAGCCCTCAACCAGCGTTGCCAATGCTCATAGTTCAAATTCCCCAAAATCAACATTCAAATCCCCAAATTAGGACAGAATCTAAAATGGAAACCGTATCTTTATTATCATGAGAAAATTCTTCGAAAAAAGATAAATCATGTTTCATAGCCTTACAAAATTCTTAAGACTTCTTAAAACATAATACTTTTTTTTTACTATAATATAGTGAAAAATAGTTTATTTGTACTATCACAAACTACAAAATTCTTGTTACATATATTAATAAGTACTAGTTGTATTAGTCAATTATAGTTTGTGAGGAAGCTGGAATCTAAACTAGGTCGAAACCTGTGCTATAGCTTCCAGGCCTCCACCACGGACATAATCATGACTTGAAACGTAAGCACTTAACAAATTAACAAAATGTGTGTCTGGTATGTGCATGTGTGTGTGTGTGAGTGTCTGTGTGTCTTTCTCTCTCTCTCTCTCTCTCTCTCTGTGTGGGTGTGTGTGTGTGTGTGTTTGCTTGCCCGGCCGCGAGACAAGTTATTAGGTAGTACATATTTTATAACTATGTTAATATTTTAAGTACCTACTCTTTCGGTTTCGTCGTAATTCTGTACCTTAAGCAATTTAGTTATTTTATTTTTGTTTGCGTTCTTACATGCAATTTTATAAATAAAAAATGAAACATAGTAAATTATTTAATTTTTTATTTATAAAATTGTGCAATCTCCTTCTTCTAAAATGATAAAACCTCGAAATAAAGGAAGTACTAACCTTATTTGACTTACATACTGCATAGGATCTTCTGGCTGTGGATACTCTAATATAATTATCAATACGTATATTGGAGTATTGTCGAAGTACCGTGTGCAGAATATAAATTTGACGAACAGAGAGAACATCTGCATAGTGATAAAGTTGCGCCGTTGGAAATCTTCGCGGCTTAAACAAGCATACTTTCAGCAAGACTGTCTGTGCTCTTTTCAATTCCATCATCGCAGACTTAGTGGCTCCACCTCAGGATGTAATGCAATATGATATGTTAGATTGCGCCAGTGCTAGATATACTACTCTCATAAGTCTGCTATCAGCAATATAACAAAGCTGTTTGAAGATGTAAATCAATTTCCTTAGTCACCGTGCAACTTCGCGAATGTGCCGATTGAATCTGAGATTGTTGTTAAATATAACACCAAGATATTTTATATTTTGGGTAGAAGTAATGAGAGTTTTTTGATATAAGTACTATTAGGAAATGAAACTGTTTTTCCAGACTTAAATCGCGTATATTTGTTTTTCAAACAAACCAACTTTTAGGGCCGTTTACAGGTCTCATGGTCACGGTTAACGTAGAAAAACTAAGAACACGTTAAATACTATTAGTCATAGACTTCTACTAGATTGCGTATTTGGTGACGTTATGTTATGGTTAGATATATTCTATGAGTTAATTAAGTTGGAACCAAAGTGTATTATTCAAAGTTGACGAGTGGCAAGCTGTGGTGTGGTAATGTGGTAATACAAGCATATCGTTTTTTTTTGTTTAGCGCTAGCCGATTTCGTTTTTCTTCATACCGGGGACCGGGCCCGGCGAATGTTTACCGTGGAATAATAGTCCCAAAATAGTACGTAGTATAATATATATATCGTGCTGTTTGTTTGTTGTGCCGAATGCAAATTTAATCTCTTCTCTCAAAGGTCTTCATTTATCATAATTTGCCTTTACAACTTCATGGTTACAAATAATAAACAGATTGTCAACGATCGTAGTTGCTGTTTATCTTATTACTATTCGCTTTAATCAGTAAATAATTTGGCGTACTATTTCTGAATTTTTGTCAGTTTTTAACATCTGAACGGATATTGCTCTTTCATCCGGTATACAGTCGGATAGGAAAAATAGGTGGGATACCGAATATCCGTTTCAACGCTAGTATAATTATATTATAAAAGCGAGGATGTGCGTTGTTGAAAAAATGTCTATGTAGTTCATCATAGTGTTTTTGTTTAGTAACCATTAAATTAGTGATGCATCAGCAATCAATACAATGAACAAAATTTAATGATAAAATATTAGAATCGCGACATTTTCTTCTGTCAAATCCCCAATCGAGTTGAAATTCCCCGCAATTTGGGGAATTCCTCACAAATTGGCAGGACTGCCCTCTATGATTACTTCTATTTTTTCTTAAAGGCGCTTTCTGCCAAACATTGCCAAAAGGAAAAATTAAGAGTTTGAAATGAATACGTTTCGAAATACTCGGAAATATTGTTTACATTTTAATGATAGTTTTTGAAAATTTGTCTATAGTTTATATTGACTTTGACAGATCGATTAAATAATAAATTCACGAAGTTGTTTGTTTATTTTTCTACATTTTAGGAATTATATTTATAGTACTTATAAGTAGTATGGTAGTTTAAAAACCATTACGTATACTGTAATAGTAAACAAGTTCAACTATGGAGTCTCTACTGTCATCAGATGATAGTTGTGATTCGGAAATTAAGAACATGAAGAATCAATTATCCGGTAACGTATCCACAATAAGTAATTACTCTATTCTATCCGTAATGATAGTGTGCTTATTAACAGATGTCATGCGCGCGTATACCTAATTAATGTTTCCTATAATCATTTCCAGAGTTTGGTTTGGATGAAGAAAATTTGAGTAAAGAGGAGATGGTGGACCTCCTGAAAGCTTTAAATAATTCCCGAACCAGCGCTAAAGAAGATGAGTTCTTGCGACACAAAGTATTTTTTTTATTTCTAAGCATTTATTTTTATTTGTTTAAGTATAAAAGTGAAATGGCATGATTTACTTAAAATTTTAGGTGGAAGAAGAAAATGCTTCTGAGTCTCCAAAAAGAATGATGAAGAGGAGATTTATTAATGTAAACGACAGACGAATGCCCTGGAGCTTGCTGCCCGGCAACATAACTCAGGCTGAAAAAGCTCGGACATTGGCTGTTTACATCAAACTTATGTCAATAAATAGCTACAGACAGGCTAGACAGACCCCTAAATTTATAATGTGGCCACCACCAATACAGATTGTAGAGGAAACAAGAGTTCAACCTGTGAGGTCTACCAGAAGTGGTCGCTCTGTGCCTGTTTACTCAGGCTTTGATGATGACTCTAATGATTTAGATTTAGTTGTCACTAAAACAAAAAAGCGAAAAGTATCTAATAGTGACAATACTGATGGCAGTGGCTCTAACAAGTGTTTAAGCCTAAAACGAAAACCATCTAAAGAAGAAAACTCAAGGCCAGTCAAGGAAGCCAAAATGAACCCAGATAATAATAAAATAGACTCAATAGGTTCTCACAATAACGTTAAAAGCATTTTTTCTATAATTGAAGACTGAATGTTGAATGAAAAGTACTTCCACAATAATATTTAGGATGAAAGTATGTGTGACAAGTAATAATTGTTTTCTTAAGCTTGTAAATATGTTTTAATGTTTTAATTTTTATTGTTTTTTTTTGTTGTTGTTAAGGCCGTGAGCACATGAAGCCTATATTGTTAATTTTGCAACAGCTTCAAGTACTTCAGTGAATAATTATGGCTATGGTAGATCAGTGTCAATAGTTAAAATATCATGTTTTGACTAGAAACTGAAAGATAAAATAAATAAGTAAATAGTATTTGTGTCACAAAACCACATCAATTATCTGGTCTCAAACTATGGAATTCTCTGAACTGTGAGTGCTATAGCAACAATAATAACTCTGGGGACTAATCGGAATGTGCTGGCCTGGACCAATTTGAAACAATTTGTTGATCTTCTTGTGTAATGCACGCACACACTGCTAACTGCTATGCCACCTCGCACACCTCAATGTAGTTTGAATTAATTGAGGGCTTGCAACAATCTGAATTACTGAATATAATATACTTTTAACTTTTATTCACTGAAAATACATTTATTTACTGTTAGTAATTTGACTATGTTTCTGGTCGGATCATTGTAGGTAGTGTAAATCCATGTAAATATACAGTTGTATCTTGTTTGAATTTTATAAAACATTACAAGCAGATTTTATGAGAAATAATTAAGTTTTGTCTGTGATTTTAAGATATTCCAAAAAATTGCTGTTGTGTGCTTGGGGAAAAATAAAATTAGATTTATTACAATAATAATGAAGTTCAACAAAATAAAAGTATCTTGTTCATTTTATTTTATATTTTATTACCTTATTTAATGAATGCATATGTCACATCCTAGTTGGAAATGTAATTTCCTTTAAATAATCCCTTATTTTAATTATCTAACTTAGAAGTATTCAATATACACACCAATATTATATAGCAAAATGAAAGTCGATTTGTTTAGATAATGTGATGCAAATCTAAAATCTAGACCATATAACTAACATTAACTTTTCGAAACAGCCAAGACCACAAGACATTGAGCTATCAGTGTCGATGCCCTCCATCACCTCTCTTCTTGGCTACAGTCGCAACTAGTGTAGGTGATGCTTGTTTCATATCATACGCCCAACCAATGCGTGCGTAAAGGTCCAGTAATATCGTAGCGACGTTTAACTTGTAACCAAATTCTGCGGCCTTGTAGTCCCATGGGAACGTGTGATGGTAGTTGTGCCAGCCCTCTCCCAGAGCAAGGAGAGACACCCCCCAGTTCTCTACTGGCATTATGAAGCTGTAACAAAGTTATTTTAGGTAACTTGACGAATATGTATGGAGTTTAAAAAATTCGAATAGTAAACATATACATACATTTGATTGCTGTTTGAGCATTATCAGAACTTTAACAAGTGCACTACTGAACATAAGCCCAGTGGACCCATATGGTTCAGAGCCTGTGCTTACAACAGATAGAACGTAGATGATTTTTTCTACATCCTTTAAAGTTGTCGAAATTGAGATAGTACCGGTTGCCAGCTCACAGTCGCTATGTTTGTTTTAAAGGTTTCAGTTACAGCAAACGTTTAAATAAAAAATGTAACAAACAAAACAATATCAACATATTTAACAAAGTACCGAGGAGTATAAAATAAATGAGTCCGGATAGCTGCAATTGGAGGCTATTATAATATAATGCCACCAGTGATAAAAACGCGACTTTATTATGTAGCTGTTTAGTAAGTAGAAAAAAGTACAAACCGATCATAAGGCTTATTTCCCCACATATGGGCGACGCTGTTCACTGCCCACGTAAAGTTGAGAGTGCACATGTACCGCAATAGACACGACAACACAGAGAACCACCAGCACTCTTGCCATCCCCAGATCGGGACTATTGCTGGCAGCAGGAAGCACAATGTCACCTTGAAGAGAGTGAAATATCTGCGAAAGATGAAACATATGTTTATAGTAACTTTTATGTAGCTATAATAATTTACGGTGGCAATACTTCACCAAACTACTGAATTTTACTCACACTTATTCTTTTACAGGGACATTGCGTAGGCACTCAATGTAATTTCAAATATTTACCTACGTAAGTGATTGTACCCGTGTATTCCTGAACTTCATTAATTAAATATTTATTTTAGAGAGATTTAGTAGCACTAGAGCTCCTTGTGAAAGAGTTCGTCCAGAGAACTACTGCCACCTTACCTATTTTAGCCGCCAAGCAGTAATGTGAGTATTACTGCGTTCCGATTTTGAAGGGGAGGGGTGCTGGTGAAATTACAGGCACATGGTATGTGTCAATTTATGTCTCAGGGTGACGGGCGCAGTAGTAGTGCCCCACGGATCTTTGCGGCTTAAAGCTCTGAGTGGCACTGCAACTGTTATGAATAGGCTTGTCGCTTACCACCAGGGCCACGCGACTTGTTTATTCAGTTACTTGATATTTTAGAAAAAATATAGAATAAGTTTTTACTAGCATGATAACATTTTTATAATACTAGTTTGTTGTTATTAATATTGATACAAAGATAGAACAAACACAAAGACTAAATCCTTCGACCCGGGTGGACTCGAAATAATATTGCTCTCCCACCCAACTGAGCCACGGAACGAGTCAGCCAATTAGTCAGTCAATTAACTTACTTTGTATGAAATTTTACGACAGGATCATTCGTAATGTCACTAAGGTCGATTTTATTGCCTTCTCGTATCACATGCGGATGTTTTCGCATCATGAGCCAACCAACGTGCGAGAAGAAGAAACCTCGTCTTGCGTCGTGCGGATCCGCTGAAGTCTCTGAGAACTTATGGTGCACTCTGTGGTCACGAACCCAGTCGTATATTTTGTTCTGCAATAATTACATCTGAATATGTTAGTATCTTATCACATATTTACGTAAAAATTGAAACCAATATCATCAATCGAGTACTTAGGTTCTCGCGATTGTTACACATTGGAAATGAAACTATTTTTTCGCATCTAAACCGGCTTGAGTGTCGGCCGTGACCATGTGACTTTTAAAGAGCTCGAAAGGTTGGTTTTTATTTAAAAACAGAACTTATATGCGATTTAGATCTGAAAAAATGGTTTAATTTCCAATACAAAAATAGTTCAACTGCCTCCGTGGCCGAACGGTCACCGTGCCGGACTGCCACGCAGAGGTCCCAGGTTCGATTCCCGGGCCGGGAGAAATATTTGTATGGCCTACATTTATTTCTCTCGTGAGTTTGGGTGTGATTTGTGGTTGTCTATAATAATAACGCACACACTCAGTGCGTTATTAGTATTATTATTATAATAATCACATTGTGAACGTTTTCCTAGTATTTGATCCCGTTCCTTTTTATCTACCTATGTATGCTGATTTTTATCGTACGTCTGTATAGGTAATTATATGGGGTATGTAATATATCATATAAATATTAGGGCATAATTTTATTTAACATGCCTTTTTTAATATAACAATTCACTTAATAAGTATAACGGACAGTAATTTAAACTTATATTGTATTATTTCATTTTTGATAACAATCATTAACTGTAACATTTCAAATAACAATTATAAGTTATAAAGCACGGTTTATATAATGCAAACAACAAACTTTAGGACTTAGGTATAAATCTTTTAAAATTAGGCGAATGTCTGCAAGGCCTGTAGGGCTAGCGCGAACTAGCGCTACTTGCGCGAGAGCGACATAAACGCGAGATCTCTATGCGAGAATAGCAGTATCTCGCGCTTTCGTGCTAGCCCTACTGCTTATATACAGTGTAAATCGGCAGGGAAGCGACTGACTACGATAACTTTGGCGACAACGTGAATATATTACTTATTATGCGTAATTAATTCCCCATGGCTTTTTGTTACATTGATAACATGGAACTCGAATATAGGAATGCATACGTAGGATAGAGAGTGATTAGCGGTAGAGACACCAAGGTAGGCGTCTATACATACCTGTCCGGCCATAGAGTAGCAAAGCATTAGAATGATTTGTAGGGGTTTCTTCGCCTTATACGACCGATGGCACCAGTAACGGTGCGCTCCAGCCGTTACTCCAAAGCCAGCTAAGTGTCCACAAAATGTCTCTGTATAAAAAGAAAAATTGAATTAATTAAAAAAAGTAAATATTTAAATAGTTTTAGTTCCTTCATTCTCTCTCAATCGTAACTACTTATTAACTAATCGTCTAGTGATTGTCTTCATAGTTAATTATTGATGTTTGGTTGACGGAATTAGAGTAATTTATATTTCGTATGCGAAATAGTTATTAATTACTACAAAATAGAGACTTTGTAACTCTGCTTTAGTTTTATGAAATTTCAAAAAGAGTATTAAATCTTTGATTAAATAAATTTACAACTTCTTATCCTGTTGATGGCACAAACTATATAAAATCGTGGCCCAGAACTTAGCCACGTTGATCATGCCCCAAGTGGCCGCCATGCTGACTGTGCATGGGATATATTTGCCATCGTTGTGAAAGGATTTGCCAATCGGATTAAATTTTTCGGCGATTTTTGCCTCAGGTGCGCCAGACATATTAGGAATACGATTCGTTCATTGCTTGGAGGCTTCTTAAGTGCACTTCAATTACTACAACTTCTCATTTTCAAAGAAGTAATTATAATTATAGATCTGTACTTAATTTCGCTTAAAATGTTGATAAAAGGGTGTTCATATTTCTTTCTTTTTTTATTTATTTTGGCAGCAGTAGAGCTCCCTGTGAAAGAGTTCGTCCAGGGAAGTACTGCCACTTTACCTATTTCTGCCGCTAAGTAGTAATGTGAGCATTACTGCGTTCCGGTTTTGAAGGGTACGGGTGCTGGTGAAATAACAGGCACATGGGACTTGTCAACTTATATCACAGCGTGACGGTCGCAGTGGCAGTGCTCATTAGATCTTTACGATTTAAAGCTCTGAACGTCACTGCAACTGTTAAGTATAGGTGAGACTTGGTATTATGAAAAAAAAAAAAAAACAGGCAATGTAATTACCAAATAGTACAGTTTGCCATTTTGGCACTACTCCCATAGCTGTAGCAACTATTAACCACACGGTCGTTCCAACATGAAACAATATTATTGCTACAGCGTTTTCCCAACGTAGCGATGTGACAAATCCCATTTTTTTCTCCCAATTCCGTAAACGGGAAAAGAACTTTGGTTCATTCTTTGGTAATGTGCTTTCATATGGACAGACGTCATCGTTATTGTCGATGTCGCTTATATTAAATCCTTTGGTTTCGTGAGTGAGTTTGTAATCCTGGCAGTTCATAAGAGTTGGCTTCTCTATCACCGATATTTCGTTGGCGATTGACGGCGGCATGGTCCTGTGAAATAAATAAGCAATAATACTGAATGCTCTTTGAGATATTTAACATAGTCAAAGTAAAAAAAAAATTAAGTATATAGGTGAACAAAATGTACACTTGAAAATGTAATTTTTTAAGCTATTGTTCATTCACTGCGCACTGTACTGCCTTTCCTGAGAAGAGCGAGCAAGAAACTCAAGGTGTTACTCTTTACTTCTTATTGAAAGTGTGTTCCATATCACTTTGAATCAAATTGGTGTGGAATCTACAGCCGTGATGTCATTCCACACATCTTTATCTAACACAGGGTTTCTTACCTTTTTTTAGTCCTGGATCCCTTTCAAAATGTCAAAGAACCCACGGATCCTCTCCAAAAAGATAAAAAAAACTAGGTTTAGCTTTTACTACCTTATATTGTTTGCGATTAAACTTTACTTAATTACATGTGAATAGTTAGTGTGACGGTTGCTGTTCCATTATGTTAGGTAGGCTCGCTACAGACCTTCGGCGTTCATTACACGGACCTCTTAGAGGTCCATGGACCACAGGTCAAGAAACCCTGGTCTAATACATAGTCTTTAATTTTGTAATATGTATCTAATACTTTTCAATTAAAATACTTTTTAATGTAAGTTTATCCTTAGGAAATGATAGTCTTAATATTATATGCTCCGGAATCTTATTGTAAAAACGTATACAGTTTCCCATAAAAGACTAGTTTACCTTAGTTATTCGAAATCGTGGTACCATGAGTTTGGACTTAGTTGTAAGGCTAATATTATGGATATTTTCTTTCTTAATGAAATTATGTACCTATATTTTTAAGGTAACTCGTAAAAATTCGATATACATTAATATTTTAGTATGTAAGTATTTTAGTATTCTAAATTTATTACGTTTGCCCATTGTATTATATGTCCGTATGTAATGTTACAGGTATAAAAAGTCTTAGTGTGTGTGACTGTTTTGAAAATTTATACGTATAAATGTAAAACAGATGATTCTAAATAAATAATTATAAACTGGTTCGAAATGAATGCAGCGCATGATGAGAGATAATAAATCAAACTTGAAATGTCACGTATTCGAATAAGTTCGAAGTTGTAGGCGTGTCATTTCTTTCAAATAAATGACTTAGTTTTGATTAATTAAGTAACTCGGGTTTAACGGTGGCTATAAAACATGAGATTGTACCTAAGAACGTCATTGTTTATACAACCTTAAAGTAGACTTCAATTTCAAGATAATCTTTGGTCAAGATTACTTATCAGTTATGACGCAAGGTGTCGATTACAAGAATTAAATTTGTAAACCTTGTCAATCCGATCCGTTATCGTGTAGAAGAACTAACGACCTCTTCATACATAATATATGGCTTGATATAGGGTCAATAGCTTAGGTGCTCTAAATTTATATCAGCCAAAAAGTGTGTTCCGCGCTACAACAGATCAAATACTTTATAGGTACTGATAGGATTTTATAATTTTGTGATATGACTTAGGGCGTAGCGCAAAATCGCTGCAAGAAGCCGAAATAGGGATACTCGTATTGTTTTGTGACGTTTTCCCACGTTCGAATGTCTCTGGTACGTGGTACCGTGATCGATGTCGCCTTTTAAAGGATATATCCAAAAATACCACCCCCACTCAATGGGGTAGGTCTGTCTTTTCACACGGGAATTTTTAGAATAAAAAATCTCAATTTTTGGGTCATCAGCATCTCATTGAGTTTAGTGCCATAAGATGCATTAAAAAGCTAGTAAAAGAGCTGTTTAAATAACGTAAGAGTTGCCCATGTCACGCTAACAAGGGCAAAAAAATTAGGAAATTATTTATTAAATAACAGAATAAAAAAATGAGAGTTGTAAGTTTCATATATTTTTTTCAGGTATGCAGAGCATTAAAGTGATACTAACTCTACTATTGAGTGGTAGTGTGGCACGACAATGTCCCGTGAATGTTCTGGTACAACTACCATTGGTGGTGGAGTACGCTCTATGGAGGGGCTGGCAGCAAGCCCTCATTTATGTCCCGGATATTGAACCAGGTATTACAGAAGTAGATTTTGTTTGATTTTTTGGCCAAAAAGGGAAAAGATAAGGACCAATGTGTTAAACACTAGGTTTCTGGATTAAGCATCGAAGAGTATGGTAGTAGATGATCAGCAGTCAAAATAATCTAAACGGGCAAACATGTTGTCACGTTATTAGATCGTATAGAATCGAACTTATAACAATTAAATAAAGGGTGCTTTTTTAATCATTTTCATCAGAAAATCATCAGAATAGATTCTAAATATTGATATACCGTGAACTGTAAATTAAAATGGGATTTGTGGTATATATTTTTAGTTAATTTGAACGCGCAGATCATATTGATACTAACTTATCACGGGTCGAAAAAGATGATTTCGCTAACGGTATATTTACTAATTGTAGTAAATTATGAAGATCTTTAACCGTTTGTTGAATTGTTGTATTAATTTGCCCATTCAATATTTGCCAAAATGGACTAAATGTTATTTGTTCAGAATATTATATAATTTTAATGAAGATTGAAATTTCAGGATGAAATTTCATGTTCGCTACTGACACGTCTCATTGCAGGCTATTTAGATATCTTTGATCGTAGGCGTCTGTGTAACGTTGGCCTGGAGAGTTTTTAATGAGAATGTCATCTTCTTGAATTTCCTATCTTCACGGTATTTTTTTACGATACGACATCGAAAGCGATGGTGTGTCTGTCATAAATGTCCAAAAACAAACTAAAATGACAATCATAGTAACCTTAGGGAATCACCCTCTTTGTCTTGTATGTCCAAGGCCGTGAAAAATGTGGTGTATTATTTCATCAGATTTTTTTTGTTATGTTCATAATATGTTACGGATCACGTAATAAGTATTTTTTAATACCAACACATTACTGCGCTAGTGTTATGTGTTTTTATATATGCATTTACACACATTAAATTTGTCTATGTAATTTCTGGAACGTAACTCAGACTCAAAGTGAAATCATCTTTATTTCATAGGTAAACAAATTAACACTTCAAATCGTCATATTGATTAAACTGTACTACTTATTCGTAAGTCAGACTCCCTCGAGGAGGATGAGTAAGAAACTCTAGGGGTTGCTTTTTGTGAATATACATTTGAATACATTTTCCATTTACAATATTTCAACCTTTTAATCGGCAAATTAAGTTTTAACCTCGTAAATTTTGAAGAAAATTTTTATATATAGCAATTTTATTATAGAAGCGTACACATTGCCGAATAAATGAATTTGTGGCTTTATAAAAACGACAAATGCCTAAAGAATGATCCTTTTTAAATTAATTAACCATTTTGCTATGGAATATGGACAAAGTATTCAGCAAGTATCTGAAACATAAAGTTAGGTGCATATCCAGTATAATATTTTGGACTTTCGAGCGTTATAATTCTAGCGTAACAGAAGGTCCACAGAAAAATTTGAAAAACCATGATCGTAAGAAATATTTAGTAAGCGTTAGAGCATGAAATTGGCATTTGAAAGTAATGACCATTAAAAAAAAAGTTACTATAGGGTAAGACTCAGATCAGAAATTTTTTAAACAAAATGTTAATTTTTATCAATTTAAAATTTGGCCTTATTAATTTCCCTCTTAAACTATGTCAATTGAAGCCTCTCTACGAATGTCATATTCTATGTCTCCCATACATAGAATATGACATTCGTAGAGAGGCTTCTGGCGTTTAACGTTAAAATTTTCGATATTTCTAGTTTTATTCAGAAAAAAGTTATTGATGTAATTTTATTCATTAGGTAACGTACTTTCCAGTTTAAAGGATTTTGATATCTCTTATTTTTACGGAATAATCGCACACTTAACGACTACACACTGTATAACAATAGAGTTATAAACAAGTAAGTATTTCATTCTGGTACATCAGTCGCGAAGTGGGTGAACACGTGCAGCAAATGCCGCACGGCATATGACTCGAAGGCAGAGAGTGTCGCGCTGCATCCATGCTGCATCCTCATCGTGTTATTAATGCAAGTCGCGATTTTGTAAAACCAACCTTTTTCAACCAACAATTATGTGGCTGAGGGATACTAATTAGAATTCTATTTGTTGACTTCCATTCACTTACTTTTCCAGTGTACAATATTTTCAACACTACATCAGTTACTGTTACATTGCTAATACATACGTTTAAGAAAACCATTAGGGAATTTTAATAGGTACAAATTGTTGACTGAACGAATTATGTTTATTAGAAACGTATTAGTACGTTTCATACAATAGTGACCATAGGTAATAAGTCCATCAAGGTCAATCGTTATGTACATATATGTACAATGTTCGATAACAAATATAATTAATACTTTTCATAGTTATTTACTAATATTAATAGCTCTTGCATTTTAATCAATGCACTAATGTAATTAAAAGACTTTTTGAAATACGCGACTGTAGAGGATTGTATGAATGAATACGATGCGATTTTATACTTTTTACTTTATTTTTATGTTAATTTTATTATTATGTAACTTGGATGTACCTACGTGGAAAATCGCTGTTGAAAAACATTACACGTACACCGCTAAAATATGTAAAATAGCCGTATATAGATTCTGATACAAAGTAGAAATAATTATAAATTTCTTTATAAAAAAACGTACCTCAAAAGTTTGCTTACCGTCAAAATATCGTTGAGAAGACCGCGGACCGCGGAAACAATTCATATGAGCCCAAACACAATGTACCTGGTGTACAGTATTGAGGAGTTCCTCTCATCAGATCATGTCTACGTGTCCATAACATTTTATTTTCATTGGAATTACATCTATGTGCCAAGTTTTATTAAAATCGATTCACGGAAAGTGGATGAACTTCAATAAACCGGATTCATCCCCCGATTAGTCACCCTTAGAAGTGGAATATTTTCTTCAAATTTATAATAGGACCACGATTGAGATACCCCCTTTCCAACAAAAAAAAAAAAGAACCATCGAAATCGGTTTGTCAAATGTCGGGGTAACACGCGGTTACCCCGACATTTGACAAACTGTATTTTTTTGTATGTTACGCGAACATACAAAAAAATACAGTCGAACTGAAAACCTAATTTTTTAAAGTCGCTTATGAAGAATATATAAATAAAAATAATAACTAAAATTGTTTATTGAATAACTTATTGTACAAAGGGTGGTGGACTCATTAATTACGGGGTTGGATGGTAAGTGCAAAGTAGCAGGAGTGATGTGTGACCTGTCAAAAGCGTTTGATGTAATCAGTCACGAACTACTCTTGGAGAAACCATGTCACTATGGTATGCGAAGCAAAACATACGATCTTCTGAAATCATTTTTATCACGCCGAATTCAGACAGTTGAAGTAATATCAGGTGGCAAAAACCTACGCAGTAGCGGAGGTGACGTGAACCTTGGAATTCCTCAAGGATCTTCACTAGGAAATACCCTCTTCCTGACATTTATTAATGACCTACCGTCCCATGTCACTGATGGCTTATTGGTTTTGTTCGCTGATGATACCACTGTAATTGTGTGCGCCCGAACTTACAACCAACATAATATAAAAGTAGGAAATGTGTATATGAGTCTGATGAAATGGTTCACTTCCAATGGTCTCATACTGAATGCTGCTAAATCTAGTTTAATATTTTTCTCTGGTAGATCAATCCCGGGACCAACGTATTTGGATAGTCCAATGCCCATAACTGACCACAGTAAGTTCTTAGGATTCATTCTGGATGAAAATTTAACGTGGAAGCGTCATATGAATTCTATGCTTGGTAGACTAATGTCCACTTGCACTAAACTTAAGCATGTCTTAAACCAATGCTTAAATTGATAAGACACTCTTAACACAATGTATTAAGAGTGTCTTTTGCATGGCAATTATTGGTTTAAGACGTACCTAGGTTTAGTGCAAGTGGACATAAGTAGTGCGACTTATGCACTAAAAAAATTTAAACCTGTTGTTACAGATTCCATACCACGACAAACATATTTCGCATATTTCCACTCCATAATGTTGTTGGTACTATTCTATGGGGTGACTCCACTGATTCTGACAGGGTATTCATTATTCAAAAACGAGCAATGAGGATACTTGCCAGAGTAACACGAAGAGTCTCTTGTAGGGACTTATTTCTGAGACACAGGATAATGACCATGTATTCTTTGTATTTATATGGAATAATCACATTCATACGAAAAAACATAATTACACAACTTTGAAAGGCATGAAAGCCGTTATAACACTCGTTCCACAGGACGACTGAGAGTCGTACCACGACGGTTAGCACTCACTGAAAAGAATCGTAAAAAATACGCATCATCAGAAGGTTTATGTTTCGGCTGATTCATTCCAGCTGAGAGTTGATAAAATTATAATGCAAGTGTAGTGAGGGAAAGGAAATAGAGAGTTTATTGCCATCGATATACCCCGACGACTATAGGCTCTCTACATTTTAATCAAATTACAAAATTCGATTCGATTTATCACAATGACTTTACATGGAGGACGATGTATGGGAAATTCACGAAATAGGTTGCAGTGTCCATGTTGCTGTTGCAGTGTGACATCCAACTTGCCACTCAGTACAGTGGCGATTAGGGTCGATGGGAGTCTTTTTCTTTTTTCGAGGTTACCGTTTCAGCTGTAGACTATTATTATCGCTGTAGCTCCAACGATGGTACAGAAAGGTCATAAATTCATATAAAACTAATATTTAAACCTTGTCCATTGGTTAACATAGAAGCAGTAGAGCTCCTTGTGAAAGAGCTCGTCCATGGAAGTACTGCCACTTTACCTATTTCTGCCGCCAAGCAGTAATGTCAGCATTACTGTGTTCCCGTTTTGAAGGGTAAGAGTGAAGTTACAGGCACATAAGACTTGTCAACGTTTGTTTGGGTGACTCAAATCTTTGCGATTTAAAGTTCTGAGTGGCACTGCAATGGACAGGCGTGTAGCTTACCATTAGGCGCACGACTTGTTCGTCCCGTCAATAGATATTATAAAAGAAATCTAACAAAGATTGTATGCGTTCCCAATGTCTTTTTCAAAATAATTCTTTAAAGTATCTGAAATAAAATAGAAACGTTAAAAAATAAGCAACTTACCAATCTTTCTTCCAGTATGAAAAATTATTAATGTCACTATTAATTCACTACATTAAATGGATTAATGGTGTCACGAGATGTAAGTTACCGTGCACGGATTAACGTCGTATGTGCGAACGTGGAGTAACGAGCATTGGCAAAACTAGTAAGCACGTTTGTTTACTATACGTGTCTGAGCTACAGCGATAGTGCTCGATGACAAAGCTTCATCGACTCGCCCGCCATCACGTACATTCTCTACGATAATCGATTAATTAATGTTAAAATCTAATTACTGTAACATGCCAATAAAATTCTTCGAACTGACGTTTACAATTTTGGCTTTATAAAAATACGTGAATCACCACTACTTAATTACGCCACCAATTTCAATTATTAGATTATTTCCATACTCTTATAGGAAATATATAAGTATAAAGTTTATTAAGAGTAATATTGAAGCATGTTTGTTGTTTGAATTTCTTGGGAAAGTTGAAAACTTGGTGCCTTTGAAAGTTTGATAATTACATTCTTTCGAGATAATTAGCTTATTTAATCTTGGTTTCCTTGCACAATTCAAACGAGGTTTGTTAACACATTTACGTCGCCTTGACTTTCCATTTTGATTTGTTGTTTATTTTTTGTTTAGTATTTGAATACCGGCTTGTTTATTTTTACTTACCTTACGCTTTTCGTTTTTTAAGGTTGCCAATGGGCTGTATTGCGATTGGTGAAATGTTTGGGAGTAAATGGGGTGGCGTCAGTACTAAATTCTTTAAATAGTGCTCGATTTAGTACTAGACTCGGAGTTACTATCCTTTCTCCGCGTATGAAACGGAATTCTACGTCCACTCATTCACTCACTAAACTCATTAATAAGGTACAATTCCTGATAATATAGCGTATAATAAAATATTTCTATAATATAGCTGCTGAATGTATTTCCAGCTCAGTGAATTGCAAATGAATACCGCATCTTACGATTGGCTCTTAGCAGCACGAACGGATCAAGATTTTAAGTCTATCAATGAAATACTTAACGCAACTGCTATACGTTTTGATCAAAACATTGTAGTTTCGTATTCTTTCTCGAAATATCGTTTTGAAGCTCGCTCGCTTGGAATATGCGATACAAATTTCGCATACAAAGACTATAGAGATAGTAGTTCCAGTAATTTCAACATCAAAAGGTATCAGTACTATAAACACAGACGTTATTACAATAACAATTGCAGATACGGAAGTCACGACCAAAACTGCGGTAAGACGGAATACGAAAGAAATTATTATAGAACTACAGAGCGATTCAGAAATCTAACAAGAAGTAAAATGTATAAGAAATCTGGTACTATTTTACCTTTGTCGCTATCGGGAATCGTCACTTATGATCAATCGAGAAAGTTCGAAATGATAAATATTAGCAAATTTTCATTGAAACACCAATACAAAAAATCAAATAGAATGTATCATTATCCAGAAGTACAGGAAGGAAGTTATCTATTGCAATATTTTAAAATCCGCATTAACTCTACATTGTATGCATATTTTTTAGGTAAGTGTATTAAATTATTGACTGACTTTATGGCTTACTGTGTTACTAAATAAGGACGTTATTAAATTAATGTTCGAATGAAGCAATATCTATAAACGTTGTGATTTGTTACTGTAGTAGGAATACAAAAATACTACAAATGAGCCCAATATGTTTTTTTAGCTCCATTATTAGTTTTGTGTATCGACACTGGAAATCAATCTTTTTGTATCTAGAAAAATAGAGCTTGTAATCAAATGTCGACGTCGTATAATCAAAAAATATCGTCGTAGCGTATACCAAAAATTGCAGATTTTCTTTATTCCAAACTTGTAACAGTCTCTTTCTTAATTTTTCGACATAGGAAAAAATTTCGAGCTCACATTTAATTTCATTACATTATTCTAAAATAAAATACTTATATATTCTTTAGCTTTAATGTTTTTCCTCTTATACAATACATAGGAGTCTGGAATAGCGACTTATCAATGTCTCAAATGGAAACACCGTATCCTGTGGAGGCCCGAAACTTCTTGGGCGCGGAGTTGACTGTGGGTAGATGCAATTCTTCCAGTGACGGTTCGCCTACTTTAGAAGACGATGGCCCTTCAGCACCTACCTCTTTGGACGACGTGTTACATTTCTTGACTGTTCGTTTGAATACCACGTAAGTTAGTTGACATAGCCATGGCGTAGTAGTCATCAAGTACGCACCGTAGTTAAGTTAGACTTTAATTGGACACGTTTAAGGATATTTTCTTTTTGTTAGCAGTTCTAATTGGAATTCAAATATATCTTTATTTTATAGGTAAGGAAATTACTATTCATAAGGTAGGTTCCCCTGATAGAAACAATCTGAAAGTACTAAACAGGCCACTACCAAGAATTTTGATCATTCAAGTATGCAGAAGCTGTGTATTAATAACATTTATTATAAATGAAACAAAAAATTATTTTTTTACTCAGCGAACCTAATAGAAGTTAAATCGTGCACAATAGCTGCGCTTGTGTTGAATATTTTTTTCATGCCCATCCGTCCTTTGCATAAAATCAAAACAATAAAAAAATATGCGCATTAGTACCGTACAAACAAAGAATTCTTATTTGTAGAAATTTCGTCAATTTTCTCATTGACTATCTGTAGCCTTGTTTATGAATAGTCTTAACAGAAACGTTTTGTAAAGGACAAAATGCATTAATGTCGGCGGCATTACAGGAGAAAGAAGCTAAAGTAAACTAATCTAGCAGTTTGTATGTTAAAATTTTCCTTAATTATTAATCGTGTACACTGCACAACTAAGCCGATTGACATTTGTGGACCCTTACGTAAAAATACAACTATACCTACAAAGTTATTTTGTTATTTCTTTTGTGGTCGTCTGTATAACATTAAGTAACGTAAATTTCACGTAATTTGTTTTTTTCTCATTAAGACAGGTTATTAACTGCAAACCAATCTACTACCTTTAAAATAGCATTGTTCTTATCGTTATAGGAACATTGGTTCCATTTAACTTTAATAAGTAATAAGAAAGTATCATCATCAAACAATTTTCCATTCTTTACTTATAAAGATATCGTGTATATCTACAAGGGTACTTTGTATAGTAGCACAGTAGTAACTATAAAATTAAAAAATATTTTTTTAGGAGTTAATTTAATTTTAGGTCAGACTACATTTTTTTACATTCCTTACAAATAGATGTGAATAGTCCGGTTTTGCATATAAATAATAAAAGAGATAAGAAAATTATTCACAAGTATTATACGTTTTTATTAATGGTAAAGTACGTAAACATTTAAATTATTATATTACGCAAAACCTGTCATAACAATAGCTGGGTATAAGTAGTTGTAGCAGTAGAGCTCCTTGTGAAAGAGTTCGTCCAGGGAAGTACTGCCACCTTACCTATTTCTGCCGCCAAGGAGTAATGTCAACATTAGATACTGTGTTCCGGTTATGAAGGGTAAGGGTGCTGGTGAAACTAAAGGCACATGGGACTTGTCAACTTTGTCTGAGGGTGACGGGCGCAGTGGCAGTGCCCCTCAGATCTTTGCGATTTAAAGCTCTGAGTGGCACTGCAACTGTCATGGACAGGCGTGTAGCTTACCACCAGACGCACGACTTGTTTGTCCTGTCACTTGATATTATAAAAAAAAGTTTTGATTTAATTTTAAAGTAAATGGACTTGCTCTTGTCTACTACCTAGCCCTGGAGCAAAGGTGGGGCCTACGATGATGAACGAAGCCCAGAAGATGCCCATTCAGTTGCAACTTAAGGATAGTCGGGTTGTGTGTGCTTGGAACACAGTCGCAGGCAGGGAATTCCATTCCTGGACAGCGCGCATGATAAAAGATGACGAAAAGCTCTTAGTACGCCCTGTACGCCTCAAGGGACTATCGACCAAGTAGGGATGATATCCCGCCGTACGTCTGTATGTGGGTATGTCCTATGGTAAAATGGGCGGATGAAATGAGCTGGTTTAGCTATGGGCACACTCACCAAAATAGGCATTTTGTATAGAAAACCGACAGACAAATATAATATAAATGATACATCGCACCCCTCAGAGAAGTACGGCATAAGTGGAATTTCGTCAAAATGTTTGGTACTCTATTAGTCGATAGAGATACAAGAAATGGAGAGGATGTGGATTATACTTTTCTGAATCGAATGGGGTATTAAACATTTTTGACGTGTGATATTATGTTTTGTTACCAGGTCACTGTCCCGGTACTATAGCAAGCTTGGTTTCCGTACATACGAAGGTGCATGGACTGGGCTACTCGGAGGTCTGATGGATGCTTCAGTAGATATTGCCCTGGAGCCCGTGACAGTACACCATCCGCAGCACCAGGACATGGACTTCATCTTTCCGATTGCTGAGACCATGTGAGACAGTTTAGTGCATCATTACTAAAATTCACTGCCCATTTTTTATAGCGAACACTAACTAAACAAAAACAAGTAAACTCCAAGTACCTTCCTACCCTTTGTATATGTTGGAGATGTGTATTTTTATTAAAAAATATAAACACACTTCTTTATACCAAAATTTTTTTCAATATGATGTCTATGCCTACGACTAATATATAATCCTACTACTACATGTTTCCAAAGGAAGTGCTACATGTGCATAAAATTATAGATATTATTACCTGACGATATAAAAATATTACCTAGATCTGGATTTAAGAAAGTACTATTTGAATTGCTTGTGATATAAATTGTTTTTAAAATGTACCCACGCCAGCACATCAAGCTACACATTGACGTATCTTGTTCCATTGTACTGGAAGCGATTTTCGAACAAAAATGTATAGTCTGATGTGCCGTTGCCCGTACATCAATTTTTGACATTTTAAAGTCTGCGACAAAGCGACACTGTATGAATTTATTAATTGTTTTGAAGTGAAACGCATGTTGTTTCACTTTTCATTAAGTCATATATTTTTTAAATTACATAATCAATTAAAAAATTGATTATATAATTAAAAAACATATAAATATATTCTTTAAAAAAATACGTAACTTCGTAAACCTAACTTTAATTTCACCTCAAAACTTTTGAACACACGAAGGATAATGTAACATGACTTTTAGGATAAATGCGAACATTGTATACTTTGCTATGAATATTTGTTTGCGAATTGCAGGCACAACACGCTGAACTATAAGAGTAATCAAAAAGGGTGATTAAAGTAAAGTCACACGTTTAGCTTAGTGACGTCGTCAAACGACACTATAAATTATCAAAATTAAATGGGCATTTAAGGCACTGCTTTCTAAAAAATATGGATAGAGACACGCTAACAGCTTTTGCCGCGTTGACCATAAACAGCGTCTGTAAAAGCATACACTTGACGACAATTTGGTTGAGGAACTATTTCTTTTGAAAATAATATAACTGATTAATTTACATCAAGCTTTTTCCTTTTTTTTTACGTACAAACAAATTGAACCCTCGTCACGCAGATCTTGTTTCGGTGGGTTTATTAAACTTAGTATTGTATCTTTGCTATAATAAAGCACATGTCAAAAGTGCTTTTATCACACTAAAGTTGTATAAATAATCTTAGCTGCATGAAACAAATTATGTATAAATGTAAAATTCTGTAACTCTTCTTTTTAAGCATAAAAAGCTATCGGCCAGTTTTGGCTCGCAACTCTGAGTTTCTCGGAATTTATGTGCGAAATTTAATTTGATATTTACCATGAGCTTTTACACGTGTTACACGTCGAAGAAGGTTCACATCCCTCGGAAAACGTGTGAAGTCTCCGACTCAAACTGGGCCTGCGTGGCGGACTACGGCCTAAGCCCTGGGACTCCTCTCGGGGTTTAAGCCGTTGGGTCTTCACCCGTGCCCAGTAGTGGGACGTACAAATGGGTCGTACGTGTTTCAATTTTGAAATGTAATTTTGATGTAGGTGCAACATCTACATCCGTCATCAGGAGACGTCAACAGTTCGCGACATTTTTCTGGCTCCATTCAGCGGACGGCTAGTGGCCTGCGTTATAGCAATTTCAGTGATTGCTTCCTTGGCCTTTGTCGTTATTAGTCGACTAACTCCTTGTCTTGCTGATCAACGGTCACGGTCCATGGGGTATACTGAGGGCTTGATCTGGTCCACTGGAATACTTTGTCAGCAAGGTAAAAGTAATTCTTAGCTATTTTATATTATATATTTTTTATGTAAGTAGTGTCGGAACGAACAAGTCGTGCGCCTGGTAGTAAGTGACATGCTTGTCCATAACAGTTGCAGCGCTACTGAGAGATTTAATCGCAAACGTCTGAGGGGCACTGCACTGCGCCCATCACCCTGAGACATAAGTTGACAAGTTCCGTGTGCCTGTAATTTCACCAGCATTCTTATCCTTCCTATTAAAACAGAAATGTAATAATGCCCACATTACTGCTTGGCGGCAGAAATAAGTAAGGTGGCAGTACTTCCCAGGACGAACTCTTTCACAAGGAAGTCTACTGCTACTAAACTAGTTTCTTGAGTTTATACGCTGTATTTTCAGCCCTATGTTGTAGCCTTGCGGGTTATCCCGGTTGTGTAGCGCTTCAGAGATGTTCATAAACGCCAGAGTGGATTGATTTTACGCTACCTTATGCAAGCGAAGCATGTCTCTGGTGCGCCGGGTGCGGGCCATCCCCGACCCTATCCTGCGCTCGATAGCGGATAAGCTCAATTGTCCGTACATGAGACACCGTCGTGAATTGCATGTTTCCAGCAGTTTCCATTATGTATAATTTTGTACCTTACTAATATGTATTAATATTAGTATTAAGTGGTTTACTCATAAATTATATGGGTCAGTGTTAATTGAAAAAAATGTAATAAATAATATTATTATTTTCAGTCACGTGTCTTACGTTGACAGTGGTGTTATTTCAGGAAGTCATAATGTTATAGGTGTCAGTATACAAATAATATACTCCTTTGATTGCCGACAGGCTTCGCCCTCACATATTATTATAAACTCTATGACACGAAGGACCTAATGGTGTAACCTCACCTTGACATATTGACAGAATATTTATTTTGGAGAGACTAACGTCCGCGTCGCTATGACGGCTATTTAAAAGAGCAAAACTTGCCAAGCAAGATCCTGTCCAGGAGAAATATTTTCAATAGCGTAATGAATAATTACTCTCCCATAATTAACAGATTTTTCAATGTCTGCCTAACTTATAACCTAAAACCAATTTGTTTAATTTAGTTTTAAGCCATTGCGGAATCTATTTCATTCTCCAAATTAAGGACATGCATATAAGATAATGCTCGTACCATAGTAATTTATCAATAGGTATTTAAAATATTAAAAGTTCTACTCAATAGATCAATGAAATAATATGTATGAGCTACCTAGACATACTTAGGAAAATATTATAATAATTGCAAAACTACTATATACGCTGACGTAGATTTTAACATAAAAAGCTATTACGTGTTTACTTTATTTAGAGTTCAAGAAACGGAATCATTGAGTGCGGACACGTTTCATTACTAACATCCCGTTCCAGTGATAAACTGATTGACTCTCCAGCAAACTACAACTTAAGGGAAGCTACCCTTACATTTTGGTCCTTCGAGCCGGAATGTAAATGCAATTTGAAACTCAGCACATCATGACCTACATTTTATAGTTAATACAACAAAATGGAATTTAGTTATCACTTAAGTTAGGAATGTGTATGTTATAGATCTAATTCTCTCTATATTGACTCATGTCTTGCAAATGAGACGTACAAGGCCTATTAAATACGTAGTTTGATTGGTTTTGTAGGTGGAACCTGGACACCTCCAGGTTCAGCAGCTAGCGTGCTCCTCATCGTGTGCCTGTTCTTCGCAGTAGTGACGTACAATTCGTATGCAGCTTTTATCACATCTGTTCTCTCTGTTCGCGTGGCTAGTGTGGACACTGTCGCCGCTGTATTGCATTCGCCAAATTTTAAGATCAGCTACATCAGAAACGGTGCCGATCAAATGTATCTCATGGTAAGCTATCAAAGTATTTCAAACTTTGACCATTGTACTTGGTAGTAAATTAGAAAGTCAAATGTACGTATGTATAGACACTGTATGAAAAAGAAGATAAAAATGTGAATATACGAGTACAAACTCAATTAACACGCTGTGTAATCTATGGGACATCAAATAACATTCAAGATGGTTGGTAATTCGATAGATCAGGGTTATTTGTAACATACTAACAAACTCGTAGGACTAATATTGTAAACAACAACTTTTGCTCCATGACTTTTAAAATAATTCATCAAATATTACTTTCATATAGCACTTACAACAAAAACTTAATAGTTTTTTTTGGTAAATTTATTATGTTTAATAAACAGTTTTGGAACAAAAATGGTTATTGATGATGTTTGTAATAATAGTCCTGCAGGGTTGTCAGTATTTTAAAAATTACTTTGTATATTTTATCTACTTTCAGGATTACATGACTAATTAGATGTGCGAAGCATTAATATGTACCTAATTATATTATTGATAATATCAATCATTTGGCACAGTCAACAAAAGACGCGCAACTGAATGCTTTCTACATACGCGGCTACTCCGATGCCGAGAACCTTGTGTCCTCAGCCGAAGAAGGTCTGATGAGAGCCGCGAGACAGGATTATGCCTTCTTCGCGGGACAGCGGGCGGCTCGATCAACGCTACGGTTTGTTACATCATTCAAAAGGAGTGAATAGTTAAACTTTTTGTAATGTACGAGTTTATATGAACCCTGCAACACTGGCAGGCAGGTTCATATAACGCGTTTATTCTCGTTTCCAAATGTTTAAAAGTATATATAAGTTCATTACGAAAGCACATTACGAAAATTCCCGCGCCCGGAACGCTTCCGCTGCCGCTTCTGTGTGGCCTGAGCGTTAGTGTCAGTGTGTTAGCCATTACGTCCTTTTTAATAATACCGCTTAAGTTGGCTTCGCCAGTACATTTCCATTTGTCTATGTGATTTTTTTCATCCGTTTGGTTACCTGATTTTACTTCTTGATATCACTGAAAGCAAGGAGTTAAAAAATCCAGGAGAGACGCTACTACTGCTAAGTATCTTTACTTATTAAAAATCGTTAAGTAGGGTACGTATAAGTAGTAAGTATTAGAAGAGTTTATTATTTGGTTCGTGTTTTAATGAAAGTAAAATAGATATTAGTTGCTTTAATCCTGAATACTATTTGTATAACTTAAAAAAGACAAGTCCTTGTCTGTGTCATTATCCGGGTAAATCCAAACTAATATAGAGCACATTGTTCTGCCGTGTTTAACATATTAACAGTAACTATGTTTGAAATACATATACGAGTAGACTTACAGTTCTTATTGTAAGCACGGCACGTTCTATTTTTTGTCAAGATTTTTCCTTAGTCTTTTAACCTCTACTTTGTCTGTGTTGACTTCATTTGTCTTAAGGTGTCATGTTTTTTTGTGGCGAAAGCCATGACTCCCTTCTGGTAGGAACGTGATATTCACTTTTTCTTTTATTTACCCTTATCTTACTTACCTAATAGCGGATATACAAGACAGACAACATGTTTTCACTCCTTGTCTATGCTCATTTACACGCATTTCTCATAGAATTTCAATTGTTTCAGGATATTTTTCTATATAAGTCTAAATTTCACCCAAAATTCCATTTATGATATTTAATCTAGTAAGCTAGTGTATTTTACAAAATAAATGTATATAACATGAAATTTAGCTGAAATTGAACCATTTGTACAATAGAGTAAGGGGAAAGAATTTCTGACGCAGACAAGGAGATGCCACAAGAGCATTACGTCGGCGTAGCGTCGTCGCCAGAGCGTTTTCCAGTGTTTTCTGCAATTCTATTTAAATATAATATTTTAATACTTACCTGATATTATAATTGTTCACACGCTCGTTAATAGAGACTTTGTCATTCATTACTTTAAACTTAACCACAAAGAAGCTTGCGAAGACTAAAGCAAACTAGTCTTGGCAAGTGAAAATGTAAAGCATCTCATTCTCATCTCATATTTGTAATGTGTACGTTTAAAAAATCTAGACGTAACCTGTGCAGGTCAGTGGGAGTACGGCATGTGAGTTGATAAATTATATTAAAATATTTAATTGTAATTACATTATATTAATATTAACTTAATATTAAAAAAACATATTGACATCGCATTTTACGAAAACGTGTTGGGATAAAATATGGGAAGTAATAAAAGCTCCGAAAAGTAAGTAAAATATGATCTTATTCAAAATTAGAATATTTAGCGTTTTTTACTAAGCTACCAAAAATTTGTGCTAGGTAAAAATACAGAAATAACTCAACGAAATATTTATATATGTTCCGAAAAATCTTGCTGAAGTAAAATACTACCCTAATAATTTAATTTATAATTTACCGAAAACTATTGTTAGCTATTTTATTATAAACCAATATAATTTTAAATACAAATTTAAAAGCGACCTCATACATTTCATAAACTTTGGTGCTAAACTATTCCATCGTATGGAATTACTATTACGAGTGACAACATAGGAACTCAATGGACGTCGGGTCCGCGCTAAAAAGTGTCCGAACTTATAGGGTGTTAAAATCGTATACAGAGCGTCATTCACGCTTTAGTCTTCATTTGTTCGACTGACAGCGAAGCAAGCAAAATTAGACAGTGCTGTGATGACTTTACAATTTAAAATTAACGTTTTAGCTTTACATGTCACTACGTTTAAATAGGTTGACTTGGGACATTTTTTTCGTAGTTGTTGTATTAGACCCGTCGTCCATTTATTTGTAAGTCAATGCTTGTAAATTATTCATTACACAAATTATGAAAACAATAATTTGACATTTCTAGGCCGGGCTCGGTTGGAAATGAGTAGCGATAAAGTCATCGAGTACCATCGAGTAACCAGAAATAAACACGAAATGTCATTTAATTTGTTTGAAAACTATTCTGCCATATCATTACCGTGACAACTGCGCTCCGATTGGCTAGCCCGAGTTCGAAACAATTGAATTGACCCGTGTCATCAATGGGTGTCGTCAACTGTTTCACTTCAAATCGACCAGTTAACTTGAGCTTTGCTATAATGGACGGAAATTGAAAAATTATATATTTAATATTTAATTACCGACGAAATGTGATTCCGTTTGTTTTGTAATTAGATGTTTTCCTGTTTTTCTCCACTCCAACGAATGGAACAGCACGCCATTGTTAGAGACATTATCTTTACTACAATAAATACAGAACATTTTTTGGAATATACGGAGACGTACACACAGGTCAGTAGTTGGCCTGTCTATATTTCATTGCAAACGAGAGTTGATATTTATAAGAGCTGTATCGCTAATATGTTCCCAGGAATATATGGCCTTTATTTCGTCTCTATTTCTGGTTATATACTCGATGGATAATGTAAATTAATTTCAGTCCGGATATACTTCCGCTTTTATTCTTTTCTGGCCAGAAAGACTTCTGCGTTCATACATAATTTTGATACTGGTTGCCTTGTAGCCAAAGCGCAATAAAAAAAAAATTGTTAAAATGGCGCGCAGGTCAAACAATTGAGATTCGCTCTGGACCTTTTGGAGGGAAAAGGGTCGTTTTTATTTTAACTTTCAATTATTTTGTGAAATCTAGTTTAAAGTGGAATAGGATAGTGCTATTGTGCCTTAATCGAAGATTAAAACGCGAAATTATACGAATCTCGAACTAAAATACACGTATCGACCCGTTTTAAGGAATCCCGAGTCAGTCCAAACACGCCGCCTCAAATTGCCTATCCTCTTTGTGGCGGCCATATTTACAGAAACATAATTAAACTTCACGTTTAGGCTGATGGCTTTGCCAAAGCCTTAATAAATTTAAAAAAAATTCAAACAATAGAATTTATTTTCATAATAAATAATTGAAAGAAATATATAATAAAAATTGAGTAGGTCCCTATAATGCGGTAAAACCATTTTTAATGAAGAAATATATGTATTTTTGATAAATTAGTATTTCTTTTGGAAGTTTAGTATATTATTTGGAAGTACAGCTTTTTTCGTAGAATTGTGCAAGATCTTGATTGTTAGCTAAATACATTAACCTACCACATAGGTCAATGGCTAAATATGATTAATTTTGACGGTATATTCTGAGTTTATTTTTTAATAACACATTTTAAAGCAGTTTAGCTGCTATTACAGTTAGTCTTTTATAAAAAATAAGTAAATTTATCGATAGCTCTGCCGTAGTGTGTCTGAAAAAATGATACCTATGTTTTTTTGGGGGAGTTAGCTGCCAGCTTTCTGATCAACGGACATATCAACAGGGCGAATCGAAAGCTCGATCTCTGTCCGTATGTGGCCTCCAGGGACCCAGGATTAATCAGGAGTAATTAAGTAGTAAGTTTTTCAAACTTTCTTTCTAGGTCGATGAGTCAGGCCCGGGGCCGCTGCGAAGTGCGGGAGTTACCAGTTCAGTCGACACGAGCTCATGTGGCTTTTCCACTGCCGAAGAGATCACCTTACGCTAGACCGATCCTCGTCAGGTAAGAAGATACAAAAATTGACAAGCTATTTAGAATCTCGCCATGTAGAAAATGATTTGGAATGAAGTGTCAATTTTTCGTTTTTAATTTGTCATATTTAGTTTTTTTTTAAATATCACGTGACACGTAAGCTACACGCCTGTCCATAACAGTTGCAGTGCCATTCAGAGTTTTAAATCGCAAAGATCTGAGTGGCACTGCCACTGCGCCCGTCACCCTGAGACATAAGTTGACAAGTCCCATGTGCCTGTAATTTCACCAACACCCTTACCCCTCAAAACCGGAACACAGTAATGCTGACGTTACTGCTTCGCGGCAGAAATAGGTAAGGAGGCAGTACTACACTGGACGAACTCTTTCACCAGGGGTTCTACTGCTACTAGTTTTAGTTATCGAGTATATAACCAAAAATAGAGACTAAATGTCATTTAATTGGTTTGAAAACTATTTTGCGAAATCATTACGGTGACAACTGCGCTCCGACTGGCCAGCTCGAATTCGAAACAATTGACGGGTGTCGTCAATTGTTTCAGTTCAAATTGACCAGTTTAAGCTTGAGTTTTGCTATAATGGACTACAATGAAAAATTACGTGCTTAATGTTTAATTACCAATGAAATGTGATTCCGTTTGTTTTGTAATTAGATGTTTTGCTGTTTTTTCCACACTACCTAATGGAACAGCCCCATAGTTAGAGATATTATCTTTATTATAATCATTTTGTTTTCCCTATTCCTGGTTATATACTCGATGGTTTTAGTCAACGGCATGATTTTAAACCTTTATAACTTTCATATAATTTAAGTGTTGATTAAATTTCACAATGCTGTTGAAACACAAGTCGTTCCTGTCTCAACTCACGTGTGTGTTACACGTGAGTAGAGACAGGAACGACTTGATTAAATATTTTCCTTACATATTTTTTATTGCATAAATAATACATGAATTTTCGTTATATTGTACTTATAATTTTAAAGTAGTTTTTATATCAACAAAGCGCAGGAGAGAGCACACAGTTTGCTTCCTGAACAGTGTGCTCTATCCTGCGCTTTGTTGATATAAAAGTCAAATTGACAGAACAGTTTGTCCTGTCAATTTGAAATTAAATCGTAAACGAATGACGTACCTATTATAAATATTGAGATAAAGTATAATAAATAACGCAATTTTTGAGATAATATTATGTTAGATCTCATGAGCGATATGTGTTTGAAGAAACAACAGGTATATAATAACGCAATAATATGTGTGTAGTTCAAACAACACTCCCCCTGCGTTTTAAATGTGTTTTTTAACAAATTTACTCTAAATGGCAACATTATAATATAAAATAATTTTTACCTATTGTTTGTTAGTCTCCTCCAGCTCCGGAGCGGAGGGGCTTTGGCCAGACTGGAAGCAGCTCTGGTGCCGGCCATGCCACAATGTGCACCATCGGCAGGGTTTGCTTCAGCGCGTGCCGCAGACGTTCGCTCGGCTTTAATACTCTTACTAATTGGGTTGATTGCAGCTTTGCTACTTGGTTAGTGGTGAAATTATCTATGAAAATTGGTTTGTGAATCGATTCGTTTTTATTATCTAAAATCCTCAGCGCCTTAGAAATTGGTCTAAGGTCGGTAATAAGTTTTTAGCGGAGTGATTTTTAGAACTAATCTCATACCAGCGGTAATTGTACTTAGTTTTTCTTAGATAATTTAATTTTATGGGATAATATTAATTTGAGTACTAGTAAGATTTTGCAACTTTACAATCTCATAATACTACACTGGTACATATCGAGTGTTTTTTTTTCATGATTGTTACACTTTTTTTTTAATAATATCAAGTGACGGGACGAACAAGTCGTGCGCCTGATGGTAAGCTACACGCCTGTCTATAACAATTGCAGTGTCCTCAGAGCTTTAAATCGCAAAGATCTGAGGGGCACTGCCACTGCGCCCGTCACCCTAATAGAAACTATTTTTTCTGAACAAACCATTAATTTCGGGCTTTTTATAGGTTCCCAACTAGCACACAAGCTCTAATAACAAGCCGTACAATATCCGGTTGGAAGTTCTTGATAACGGCTTAGGCTGCATTAACAAGTTCTACAGTAGATTTATAAGCGGTTGTAGTGCCGCTTTACCCCCAAAATGGGTACCGATTTATATGCTTTGGGTCTACAACGGCCGTAAACGTGTACGAAGTACGAAGATACAAAGGAGAGATAAAGAAGATTGGCGCGGTTCTAAGTTATACAAAGGTGCTATGCAAGCGGTTAATGTACGCCACAGTAATACGAACGTGCTATGAGAGCGGCCATTGTCCGCCTTAGTATCTAAAATAAGTTTTTGTGGCGCGACTATAGCGCTCGCATCGTATTTAGACGCGACTGTACCTCTGAATTTAACTGCTTCCGTGGCCGAACGGTTACAGGGGTAATATAAGCAGCTTGTGTGCTTGTTGGGTTCTATTTGCCATGCCCGATCTGGACGTCTTTGAATAAGCTTCGAACTCAGGTTGGTCGGAGTTAGGACAATTTGTTCAGGTGGGGATTTTCGGATGGTTCTAACCTGGACCGCTTGTGTGGTGCGGTACTCAAACGATGGCCCACCTCACATCCTGCGTGCCCTAGTACCTGCAAACTTGAGGATTTAATGGCGGCTGCTAGTGACGCGGTCGGCGTATCTGAGTTCTGGGCCACTATAGTATAATCTATGTCAACGATACGATAAGAAGTAGAAAAGATTCCATGGTCACGGCTGACAGCTCACTTAGTCAGTCATGACCATGGTGTCTGTAAAGGACCCGAAACGTTGGTTTGCTTGAAAAAACAAATTCACGCGATTTAGATTCGAAAAAATAGTTTCATTTCCTAAATGCACTGGTACATTATTGAGCAAAATTCGTTTTAAAGACTTATGTATAAACTTTTTCCTTGGCGTAAAGTAATGTTTTCTTTTAATTTTTACAAATATTACGTTTTTTGTTTACGCCCCGCACAGGGGAAACCCTGTGTCGCGGGTGCCATGGACACACATATAGACAACCACAAATTACACCCAAACTCAAGAGAGAAATAAATGTAGGTCATACAAATATTTCTCGCGGCCCGGGAATCGAACCTGGGACTTCTGTGTGGCAGACCAGCATGGTAACCGTGCGGTCACAGAGGCAGTCATATAGATTATTTAAAATTGCAGGTATCGGCGAGTACAGTTGGAAGAATAGAAAAGGACAACGTAAATTTTTAGTACACTGCTATCGTCGACTTGCAAATTTAATTCATTTATTGGATTAGATCTCAGTAAGTTATCTATTATTGTCTTGTGCTTACGACTCTCTTATACTGTTATAGCTATTAGGATGTTACGTAGCGAATTGTAGTAAAAAAATGTAGTATATTTTAATGATTGCAATTTAAAAACATTGTAAGAAGACTTAGGTAGGAACTGTGAGTTAAATTGCATGTAACACCAATATTCTACCAATTCGTTCTGTAAATGTTAACGATTTTTTGTTAAATGTGTTATTTGGTAGACGGATCTTGTGTTTCTATTTACTAAGGTTTTTAATAGTACCTAATTCTATAATAACTAGTACAGTGAAAACAGTGAGTTTCGTGAATTTACTATTACTTATTAAATAAAATAATATATTATGATAATTCAGTGTTAGAATAGTAAATTAAGGTGAGCTATGTATTTATATAATTAAATGTGCTTTGTTTTTATGATAGAGAGAGACGGGATGGACAAGTGCGCCACTTAGTGCTTTAAATATCTAAGGGGCGGCGTAGCCACTGCGCACGTCACCCTGAGAGATAACTTGACAAGTCCCATGTGCCTGTAATTTCACCCTTACCCTTCAAAATCGGAACGCATTAATGCTCAAATTACCGCTTGGCAGCAGAAATAGTTAAAGTGACAGTACTTTCCTCGACGATCTTTTTCACAACGAGCTCTACGAGAACTTTAAAAAAAAACTTAACTTTCGGAATTTATTTTTATCTCTTTATTTAGACCGTTCCTTTTTTACATTATTATTATAAATTACATTCAAAATAGCCCCTGGAACTCAAGGTAACACTGCGTCACGGGTGCCATGGACATACACATAGACAACCGCAAATTACAACCAAACGCACGAGAGAAATAAATGTAGGCCATGCAAAAGTTTCTCCCGGCCCGGCCCGGGAATCGAACCTGGGACCTCTGCGTGGCAGTTGTCTTAGAATAGGTGCAAAAATGCAATAACCAGCCTCAGCAAGTGACCATCAAATAATATTGGCGTTAATATCAGTATGTTATAATTATTAATTCAAAGATCGAACACAGAAAAAATTACTTCGATCCGGTCGGATTCGAACCGATGTCTTCTTGCATACCGTGCCAGACCACGCCAGACTAAGCCACGGAACGATCCAAAGACCAATCCGTCCGTTAAAAAATAATTTAATATCAATTCAATAAAAATTTAATTAATACAATGAATAGCGACATCTCTCGCCAGGACTGGTAGCTGTAAAGGTACTAACTTGATAAATCTGTCGTAGATTTCTCATAGATGGCGCTACGACTAAAAAGTCGTTGAAAAACCAAAAACAAAGACACGACGCAAGCACATAGAAAAATTCGTGAGGTCCGTTGGTTCGTTCCGTGGCTTAGTTGGTATAGCGTCTGACACGGTATGCAAGAAGACGTCGGGTCGAATCCGACCGGATCGAAGAAATTTGTTTCAGAGTGTTCGATCTTTGTATTAATAATTATAAGAAACTAGTGGAATAATTTCACAAAAAATAATTGAATATCAATTCCATTGACTTACAAATAAATGGACGACGGGTCTAATACAAAAACTACGAAAAAAATGTCCCAAGTCAACCTATTCGAAATTTAAATTGTAATGTCATCGCAGTATCGCGTTGTCAGTCGAACAAATGAAGACTAAAGCGGAGTTTGGCGCTCTGTATACGATTTTAGCGCCTTACAAGTGCGGACACTTTTTAGCGCGAACCCGACGTGCATATAATTGTAAGTCAATGATCAATTCAATATAAATTTAATTAATATCAGTATGTTATGTTAAAAAAGAAGAAAATATACACGACAATCAATTCTAATTATATCTATAGCGGTTTTTCAAGTGTAAAAAAGTTCCTAAAATATAATCAATGAATCTTCCGGAAAACTTTGTATAAAAATTATATTTACTTCGCGGTACCTGACTACATTAATTTTATCTTAGTTATATCTTAATAAAATACTGGAAAACTTATGGTATCAGTTTTTATTATTAAAGTAAACTTAAGTCACAACATAGGGTAAATACAAAAATAAGTAGCATAGGAACAACCTAGCTTACCCTCTCTTAAGGTAGTGTTCTTCGGCAAGTGTTTGTTTGGACACTGCATCGTTCAAACACTGTGTAAGTGGTTTGGTGGTCTTCGCAGCTTCAGCTAAGGCCTTCTGGATAGTTGGAGTGTCCACAGTTTGAAGGTCAGTGGCCAGACCCAGAGCAGCCCAAATTCGGATGAAGGCGGTTGAACATCCACAGTCTGTCAGAGTTTCGGTTTGGTTATTTATGTCCTAAGTATGTATAATACCAAACCAAATTTCTGTGCCTTCATTGGTTAGAAAAAAGCTCAATATTCTTTTGACTTTGATAGTTAATGCAAGTTTGTTAATATATATTTTTTCCGCATTAGATACGCACAGCCTCGCATCAAAATAGACGATTGAAAATGGACTTAAAGTTGTGTAGCTTACAGTGACTTTTAATCACGACACTGAATACATAGCGCGCTGTCGTCGCTTCTTATTCTGCCTTAACATAGGTATAGTATAAATCTTACGACTTTCGATCTACTTGTCGATGTTCTACTTTGATGCTGATCTGGCTAAGGTGTTAATGCTTGCTTAGTACAACCTAAGTTGTAGAAATACTAAAGATTTATAAGGGATGTAATAATATGCCTAGCTACCAACGTGTATTGCGGTGCCTATGTAAATTATACACGCAACAGAACGTTTCGCCACCGATGGTTGGTAAAAGCTTTGCGTGTTTTCATACCCCAAAGTCAAAGTTAAATGTTTTATTTTTACTCACTCAACTTCCATTTGAAGCATCACAGAATTTGGTCAGAAAATAAATAATATTTGCGTAGCTTTAGTCATTGTTTGTCCTTAAAAAACTAAAGCATAGTACTCGAGCACATATTTTCGGAAATCATAAAAAGAACTCACCGTAAGTACCAAATTCTCCCGACTTGTAGTCATAAGGGACGAGGTAGTGGTAATGAGGCCAGAACGTCCTATTCAGTATAAATACAGAGTTTGAATCGTGCGGATACCTGAAAGAAATAAATTGCAGCCATATTACGTTTACTTTTCAGTCTCTTGTTCCAGAGTTGCATTGCCTGTATATCTGGAGACTGTATGTCTGTTAAACAGGCTTTTATTTTATTTAGACAGGTATTTATGATCGAGGGATTTTTTTCTAAGTGTTCGATCTTTGTATTAACAATTATAATAAGTGTTCGATCTTTGTATTAACAATTATAACAAACTAGTGGAGTAATTTCCCAAAAATTACTTGAATATCATGGTGGTGAAACATCCTGACTTTTAATAAAACACTTAATATTGATAGCAATTAAGTATTAGTAGTATGCATTTTGTTGTGTAGTTTGTAATTTGCCATCGATCTGCTAGCCCGTGGGTTTCGCATTCAGTTTCTTTTATTGTAAAATATAATTTTATAGATGGATGGTTTCAAAGGTCTCGGCGCTCCAACGGGTAGGTACAAGTAATCCAAAGAACTCTCAAACACTCTTTATTAACAGACTAAATTTTTATAGACTATGACTATATGGCTTTCGTAGATTGCCATGTTTACTTACTTTTGCCCTCGTTTAAGTCCCCAGACACATATACCGCTTTCCACAAGCCAGGCAGCGTGTAGAACGACAGCATACCGCAAGAACCCGATTACAAATACTGCATTCAACACAGTGTCATTCCAGTATTCCAAAGGCGCATTCAGAGGTAACAGTAGGAAGAATACGCCGTAAAGTAGCCAGTATGTTCTAAAAATAACAAAATATTACATATCCTCAAGAACACGGTATGTCAATTTAATGTAAATTGTAAAATATTCCACATAATACCCTTTATAAAACTAGGTACTGTATGAATAACTTTGACCTGAAAACAGTAACATAACTTACAATCTTATTGTCAAAAACTCAACAATTTTTCTGGGTCAATGGAAAGGGACTTTACGTACAGGCAAACTTTTATTGAAAAGTGAATATAAAGTTTGTCACCTTCATTATCGCCCACATCGACTAGGCAATCGTCTTGAAAATACTGATAGAAATTTAATGGTAAGCCAGGGTCTGGGAAATAAATAATTACTGAACGGGTAGGAATTCTTACTATAATAGAACAATATAACTAACTATTTTAGTAAGAATTCCTACTTGCTATCATATATCACAGTTAAGTTCAGCAGGTTCATAGACAGTTCTCTATAAATGCAAGGAAATTATACTAATTTGTTTTAGTAACTTTTACAATATGTTTTATACACTTGCTCGTAAATAGTATGATTGCATGATGGCTAACTTGATTCTAATGCCCCAAATAAAACTCTCATGCCTTTTTTCTTCCCATTACAGCCGTGGTCGGTAAGGATTTTTTTTAAATTTATAGCACTACATACTTCCTTACATAGGTCAGATCCAAGTTCAAGCAAGGAGGTTACTAAAGTTCAAAATTAAAACATTCGCTTAAAATGTTATCCAAACAGAAATTGAATTGCAATTCAGCCACATACTGCTTAAATACTTATTATTAAGAATTTCTTATAATTTTAATTATTTTCTGTATAATTTTTTTTACAATCCATCATGGCTGTATGCGCACGTATTATGGAAGAATGACTAGCTGGCCATCTGTTGAAAAAAAACAAAAAAACCACCATTTTCAAAATCCGTAATTGTTGTGTTGTGAACCATATTTATTCATACAAAATAATAACTCATAAATGTGATGAAAAACACTGTATGTATTACGAACGTAAAAAATACAGAACTCGAGTTATTAAAGCCCTCGGGCCTTCGGCTTCGGGCTTCTAGTAGGCCCTCGTTAGTAATTTCTCATTTACCGTCCTTAATACACAACGTACTATTTTTTAACCATATGCCTTTTTAAAATAAAATTAAAAAAACGAACGCACCAATAATTTTACAATCTGATCATTTAAACGCACCCATTGCGCCGAAAAAAGTAGCGTACAATTTGGCTGTATGGCATTTTCCTTTAGATCACTTCGATCTTTCTGCAATGATCATGATCAAATAGGACCAAATAATAAATAAACTAAAATTGTACCGCTGCGTTATTAGCGGTAGAAAATGCATTTTTATACGGATTTCGCGGACTAGGCCGGGAATCAATTACTTTGTAATTTTGTGCAGTGGCAAAAATAAAGCTTGTTGCGTGTTCTTTGTATATAAATAAGCGAACATTTCCGAGCATGTTTGACAAAAGTTTAATATGTACCCAAACGTTTCTGTACTACATCGACATGAGATATCCTCAAAATATGAAAACAGATACATATTGTATGCTTTCTTTTTACATGTTAAGAAAGACAAGGATTCCCGTACAAAATATGTGAAATTATTTTAACATTGATTTTTTGCTTTGAGTTTTTGAACATTAATTATTTTTACTAGAATTTTATTGAGCGGATATTTTTTGCTAAACTTGACTTATCAGTCAGAGATAGAAATATGAATGGAATTTTTTGCTATATATGTATACTCTGTGTATTATCATAGAACTTTTCAGTAAGTATCTAGAAGTGAAATTCTTTTGGGACTTACTTCTTTTGGAACATGACAACAGAATCTTTTTCTAGATCGGACATGTCAACTTCTTTAAGCAGCTTATTCTGGTAATCGCTGAGTTTTCTCAAACGCGTCAATATGTGAGCGTAGAGGAATCCATGGCGATGATCAAAGGGATCCTCATCAGTTCCGAAGAGCGAGTGATGTAATCTGTGGTAGCGAACCCAATCGTATATTGGACCCTGTAGAATAAACATTCGGAGATCAATATATGAAGTTTTCTAATTACATAGGGTACAGTTATTTTGCTCAATAAAAAAAAGTACATTTTCGAGTGGTTATAGCTATGTGCACAACACGTACAATTGTGCCTTAAATTTATATATCAAGCAATTGGCAGTTTAAAAAAAGGTCAGTTTGTATAGTTTAACCTATTTGAGTGTACTATAAAAAATATTATATATAAGATTTGCATCTTTGTTATAGCCCAAGGAGGTGACATGGGTCCAGCATACCAAGTTGAAAAAGGTCGGGGTTACTCCGTAAGAAGGAACTTCGTTAAGTTTCTGTGTATTACGCTTATGGTGATACAAGAGTATCCATATAAAACTTTACTATTGCGAAATTGTGAAGGAGGAAAGTATTTGAATGATTAGAAGTCTATAAATATATCTTCAACAAATACTTTACATCCTAATATCTGGGAATATTGACATTGTAGGAATTCAAATGTAGTTCGTAAATATTACAAATATTACATAATATTAAAATATTATAATATTTAGTTTGTAAAAAAAAAAAAAAAAAAAGTTCAAAAGTGGAATGCAACTAAGAGAACCAATTTTGGATAAATTACCTACAAAAGCAAAGCGATTTTTATTTCGAGGGATTCCGAAATATGATGTGCAAATTACAATTTATTTTTGAAATTAGATTTATTTCATGGTTTCTATAACATGTCAGACAACCACACTAATTGCCTGGTCTCAAACGACTGAATTCCTATGCAATGAGTGCCAGAGCAACGAAATTCACTCTGGGGCACTTCTCTTAACACCCAGACATTAAAATTTAGAAAAATTATCTCCAAAATTGATCCTATCAGGAATAGAACACGGGACCTCATCATCTAGTATAAATTGGCCATATAACAGGCCCATAGCATAAACTGTTGGACCACTGAGGTCGTCAATTTAATAATAAATAAAAGTCAACTTATCTAAGGGTCGTATTCCAGAACTCTACTCAATGCTCAAGTCAGGATTTGAGTATGGTATAAAGCACTCGTCCATACTCAATACTAATCATACTCAAGTCCCTGCCATTAGGGTCGTATTTCCAGTGCTTGAAATCATACTCAAGTCTGCTCAAATCCTGACTTGAGCATTGAGTAGAGTTCTGGAATACGACTCTTAGTCAATTTTGGACTATGAAATTTGACTCTACCTACATGTTATTTATGACATTAAGTAGCAGTGGCAAGAAATTGGCTATTTTGCTTTTTGACGATAGTAAAGTGCATGGCGAAGGTGTAAGTGGTCCAAGTTGGAAAATTAACGAACGTACTTGGAAAAACTTCAACGTCAACTTTAGTCATTGTTAGTATTTTTTTAATAGGTATAACTTTTATTCAATAGTAACAACATTACCTGTCCAGCCAAAGTTTGGCACATCATGAGAAAAATACGGAGTCCAGTAGTGGCCTTGTATGCTCCGTGAGCCCATAGGCGATGGGCCCCCGTCGTTACTCCCAGAATACCGAAAGATACGAGGGCGATAACTATAGAACAATATCAAAATATGAAGATATCGTTGCAGCCAATAAAATGAAAAAGAAATTTTGAGTAATAAATAAATAAACAATACATTAAATAAATAGAGTGGAGATCGTTGGGGGAGGCCTATGCCCAGCAGTGGGCGTCGTATGGCTGAATGATGACATTAAATAAATAAAAAAACAGAAGCCGTGGTAGCCTAATTAATGGTTTGAGCGCCTCTCAAGCAGTGACCGTGGGTTCGAATCCGGCCTCGCACCTCGTGAGTTTTTCGGGATTTATGTGAGAAATTTAATTTGAGCTTTTCGGTGAAAGAAAACATCGTGATGACACCTGCACGTTGAAGAAGGTTCACAACCCTCGGCAAACGTGTGAAGTCCCCAACCCGCATTGGGTCAGCGTGGCGGACTATGACCTTAACCCTCGCCTGAGAGGAGACCCGTCGCAGCACGCAATGGGCCTTATAAATGTGTTGAAGATGAATACAATAAATAGTCTATTTTGTTATTTGATAGCATTAATCTATATAATATGCTTTCTCTATTTCCAATTTATAATAATAATAACGCACACACTCGACATAGCACTAGGGCAACCCTGTGTCGCGGGTGCCATGGACACATACATAGACAACCACAAATTACACCCAAACTCACGAGAGAAATAAATGTAGGCCATAGAAATATGTCTCGCGTCCCGGAAATCGAACCTGGGACCTGTGCGTGGCAGACCGGCATGGTAACCGTTCGGCTACGGAGGCAATTGTAAATATAAGTACATAGGTATTGGTAAATATGATTTATAGGGCACTGGAAATTACATTTCAAAGTAGAGGAAGTTTGCTCTTTATGAAATTTATTTATTTATGTTGCTTTGTGTTATGTTTACATTAGCCACTGGTCCATAATGCGTTGTTAGCTATTTCATCCTATTTCATAAAGAATTGAATTTAGGACATTATTATTCGGAATATGAAGTAAACGATTAAGTAAATTATACAAAGTATTCCGTCAATGTAAGAGATGATAATTAACTTTCAAATGATTTCACATAAAATCATAAAAATATGACTTGAAATATTGTATCCATGTTTCCTCAAGAGAAGCTAGAAACTTAAAAATAGATAGATTGTACCTTTGGTTAATTACGTTATACATTTATGATTATTTAAAATGTAAAGGCTCTTTAAATAATTGTTTTTCAGTTCCACTGGTTTAGTAGCAGTAGAGCTCCTTGTGAAAGAGTTCGCCCAGGGAAGTATTACCAGCTTACCTATTTCTGCCGCCAAGCAGTAATGTCAGCATTACTGTGTTCCGGTTTTGAAGGGTAAGGGTGCTGGTGAAATTACGGGCTCATGGGACTTGTCAACACATGTCTCATACGGGCGCAGTGGTAGTAACCTTTGAGTGGCACTGTAACTGTTATGGACAGGCGTGTAGCTGACCATTATGCGCACGACTTGTTCGTTCCGTCATTTGATGTTGTTATAAAAAAGAAACCTAATGGACGTGGAGTACAAGTAAATTATTTATCTCGTTTCGGCGTATTAGAACGAAGTAAATTTTTATTTATCTTTAATGTAAGAAATGTTTTATGTGTTTCATACATTTGTACACTGTACTGGTTATAATATCTCTATTATGCCCATTAAATCCCAAGAGTATCTCCTAACATATTGGCGTTGGTACTTAAGATGTTCAAGCTACAAAAGGATCATGCTACAATACACATAGTTAAGCAGAATATTATAAGGATCGCACACCGATTTTCTTGGACGTCTGATACGGAATACCGTTTTCAAAGCTTAAAAAACTATATTTCCCTATCACTTCCATTTAAATAATTGCAATATTGTCTTTTCAGAGGAAACATAATAAAAAATAATGGACAACTACCGTGAGAGTCGGACATATTTAAAAAAAAACTAAACTAAGGTATTAAATCGAATTTTTGCTCGACATGCTTCGATCTAGTCCGTGGTCTTTAGTCATGAGATTCCGAAAATTATCATCAATCAGAAAATCATTGTCACTTTTGTTGAAATGTGCCTATACATTATGAAATAATTAAGAAAATAAATAATAAGAATAAAAATAAATATTAGACAACATCACATACGTTGCTCTGATCCCAAGGTAAGTAACTAAAGCACTTGTGATGAGGTCGTCATCAGGAATATTTCCAGTTTACAAATGTTATCTTTTTCACAAGTGTAGATATTAATTTGGTGGAGACTAAATGTACAATAGGTATTTTCACATCGAGGTTACAACAGCCTTTAGACCTAATCGGACTAGATATGAATTTAAAAAAATCCGTCGTATAAGCGCTTTTTTAATTCCTGGAGAAGCCCCGCGCGCCCACTGCCTGAATTCGGCCAATGATCACAGGTTGAATTATATAAATGCAAAAGATTGGTCGTTTTTTTCTTACCTAATTACTAAGGTGACGCCAACCACATGTGAATTTAACAAAAACAGTCTGCACGAAGATACATTAATCTAGATTGTCTCCTAGGTGGTGTTCAAAATTGATATAAATTGTACTTACAAAATAATATGGTTTGCATTTTGACTTCAAAGAACATCAACCACATGCCATAAACAGGCAGTAAATGTATGTGTATGAAGAAGAGAACTGCAGGCCAATTCGCCTCGCGTTTCTTGCTCAACTTCTCTTCAGGAGCCGGCGGGCCATCGGCTTCACTTAACGTTTCGCTGACGCGGACCATTTTTGCGGTTACACTGGAAGTTGAAGGGGATATTTTTTACGTTCTTATTGTTTACTTCATAATTATTATTCACTAACCTAACTTAACTTTACGAGTTTTTATTACAAATAAACTTTAATCATTTAAACTGAATCTTTAAACAATTATCTGCAAAAAGCAGAGTTAAATTCGATGTAAATGAATCAGTTACAGTTATTCAGAAATCAGGATAGTAAGAAACGGTAATAGCCGTTAGTGACGCCACATTCCCATCACCTTGACCATTAATAACGTATTTCCATCTATTCATCAACAAATGCAATAAATAAATGAAATCAAATACTTTTGATTTAACAAACTGCTCATATTTTTAGCTACATAGTACTTATAACTTAGGCTAGCATAGGTATTCTGTGGTTTGGGAAATTTTGCAAGCTTGCAAATTAACAGTAGAGTGGATAATACGTACCAGCATTGTATGTCGTCTGGGAAGGTTTATTGTTAATTTGAAAATTAATATGAAAGGAAACATTCATACACATTATCAAAACATGTATAAAAATATTCTTAATAATTCTTACATCGAGTCCTTGTTTGAATTTTGCCCTTGTGAGTGCCGGCGTGGGACTGCATTAAGCGCTCACAGCACGCGCGGCTAAGACGAGGTAAGAAAACGCACTAATGATAATTTTGCATTCGACCGTGTACGCGGACATTGCCATAATCGATGCATGATGCATCTACAGCCTTGCAAACGTAATCGCTAACCTACTAAAATGCACGCAATGCAGTTTATGCTTTATAACATTTTTATTTTACCGGATATGATAATGTAATCGAATCAAATCAAAACTTGCAATCGATTTTATTATAAAATCATAGATTTCAGAATTCACACAACTTTTCCTGATGCCGTTTACAAGCGGTACTGGTTATTTATTCTACGATGAAATTTTGGATTTTTATTTCGAAGTTAGTTTTTCTTTTAAAAAATGTTTATAATAAATAACACAACTGCTGAATCAAGTCAAATCAGTTGCACAGTGTCGCTTAGGACTTTTAAATCGCAAAGATCTGAGGGGCCCCGTCACCCTGAGACGTAAGTTGAAAAGTCCCTTGTTTCTGTAATTTGACCCTTCAAAACCTAAATGCAAGAATGCTTACGGCAGAAATAGATAAGGCGGCAGTACTTCCTTAGGCAAACTATTTTAAAGGAGCTCTATAAAACTAATATAAAATATAATATAAGTACCTATATTTATTTGGGATCGTATAATTAGCATATTAGATCTGTCTTAAATAAATATACATCCATCAGCATTTAAATAAATTTACGTACGTTTTAGGAATAAGATTTACTAAATAAATATCCGTGAGAAATTAACCGATTTTACCCATTTCCAAAGCCTGCATTCAATGACGACACATTTTTATGTTCGTTGAAATTTTAATTCCCAGTTTTGTGGAAAGGTGTAGGGTCACAATGACATTGTATGTTAATGTAGGAGACAATTATTTCCATACTAGAGTGTTAATCAAAACAAATTCATGAAAACAAACTCGATTTGTGTCGGGGTGACTTTCCGGAGAATAATATATAGGAATATCAATAAAAATGTTAAATTTGTTTAAGAAATTGCCTATACTCTGTAAAACCTAACATGTCTAATTTCATGAATCTGTAAGATGAGAGACTACCAATGAAATCGAAAGTCGATGTTAAAGTAAATATCGCCTGAACTGCATAATTTAATCAGTGTTATTATATCATGGTAATAACTGAAACAACTAATATAATTCATGAATAGGGTCCGACGAACAATGTCGAAACGTTCTTGACACCACTATTTGTAATTTTCACTTGAATTTTTATAAAAAGTAACCGAGCATACCTGAATAATAGTATATACGGGATAAAAATTCACACATTCAAAGCACATTTAGATTAAAAAATCAAATCAAAGAAAATTATATATCGTAGCTCAGGTGCGATTGATACCCACATAATGTTATAGTGTACGTGTACAGTGGGAAAAAATTTACCAAAAACACACAATATAACCGAAAATAACATTTTAAAAATACCGCCAAATTATTATTCGACAGGAGGAGTATATAGTATTATCGATTCTGTATTTTTGGCGTGTTCCATCACAAACTTCTAACTTCAAACGCTTTGCGCGAAAATGTGAAAATAAACATTAATGATGTCTTATTGTAATTAATACGAAAAGTGATTTATCAATGATATGTGTATTTCAAAATGATCATATGTTAATGAGTACTAACGCAAAACACAAAAAATGGTTGTTGTTGCATTGAGTTTACAAAAAAAATTGCTGCAGCAAATTTACGTTGTCCTAATTTTGTCAAGGTGTGATTCTAATCAAGCTAAATTTTACGGAGTATAATAATTATAGTGATATCCAATTCTCCATATACATATATATATAAAACAACTAATGTAAAATGGAGAATATTATTTTTGTTTGATATATTTATGGTTATGTTATTTTGGTTTAGGTTGTTGGTTCTCCAACAAATTTTTTGGTGTTATTTTTGTGTCGATGCTTCTATTTTTTTTCTGTACCTTTTCATGCTTAGTTTATATTATAATATAAGTACCTTAATATTGAGCCTGACTTGAATAATAACTCTCTAATCACAGTCATAGTAATGACTACATAGTCATTGTTCAAATGTCACTACATTTGAGCTAAAATGAGGGTAAAGGTAGCTTTATCTAGACGGGAAAAATTTCTCATGCGTAATGTTGTCAAATTACACTTTCCACCAGCTTTTACCTAGCAACTTCCGTAGCAAAATTCTCGAAACCTCGATTCGAAAACTCGATTCGAAAACAAAAACAAAATCAGGACAGCTATCGAGCTGTCCTGTTTTTGTTTTTGTGCGACATTGTAGATTGTGATCGGGTAAATAAAGTCTTCATATCTATTTGCGCTTTGTACCTTTCATCTGTACCAAATTTTTGTCGCATTGAAAAATCAACAGTTATTTCCATTTCATTCATACTATGTTTATTCGGCGGGCGAACATATAGAGTATACGATTTAGTTGAAGATGGATGTATAAACCGACGAATTTGAATCTATCGATTTATTTGTGCTTGCCAGGTATATTAAGTATTAAAAATAGTATTATGTATTTATTTTAAAGTATCACGCACCTACCTATCACATTAAATTGTAATTATTCAACATAGTAGGTAAGCACTGTTTATAGTATAAAATAATTACTTATTATATGATTTCTTGTCAATATATATTTTTTAATAATAATAATAATATGTCTTATTTCCCTCACATCAGATAGATGCATAGTAACAGTATAGAGTTTCAATATTCAATTTTATGAGAGACAGGAGCCTAAACTAGGCTACCCTGTGTCTTGGGTCTCCTGATCCCCCCATCTTGATTGTACAGTTTATTTACTCTACTTAAAGTGTAGTTAAAGTACATTACATTAAACCACTTCTTATTAATAACGTTAGCTACCGGTATTAATTTGTTTTAATTTAGGTGTTAATTAAACCTACTATTCGTAACACTGGATACTCACAATTATCTGAAACGATTGAATGCATGGTTCCAAAGCAACATTTTGATTATAAATACGACAAACACAATATATAGAATAAAAAGACAACTAATCGTGATACTTTAAAGATAGAAAGTCAATCAATCTCAAAAATGACAATGCACTACAAAGTATGTGTACATGTATCTTATTAAATTGAAAAATTGCAAAACACCGAAAAATCATTACTGCAACTTTTTCTTAAAATGCTGTTTTTTACACGGTAGGGTAGTAAAATAAACTAATTGAGGTTTTTTTAAATTATTGTTACTTGGCACCAACCAATGATCTTTATATACATAAATAATGTCGGCACCAACAAATAAAGCTTACAATTGCTGAATGTTAGGCAAAACCACATGAGTAAAAAAAGGAGCAGAGACAAAGTTTCTAAAGAGAGTGCAAAATTTATACCTATTTTGGTAGGGTTGGTACAGGAGAATAAAATTAAATAAAAAAGGTTTATGATATGAGAGCATAATGACCTGTTACAATGACAAAATAATTGATTGTTGTGACGTCTAACGATAGTTACGTGAGAAAAGTTGATAATTAATTACTCTAATAGGGTAACTATAACTGTAACGTTGCTCAATTTAATACAATGTAGGTTTTAACGGTACGGATTAACATCACAATATGTAGTAGATACACAGGAAATTATGAGTAAAAAACGTTATGGAGGTATATAGCAATACAATAGTGATTAAAATCATGATTTGTGCATCGTAATTCAACGGAAGTAATATATAAATATAAAAGTTACATTGTCATATCTTGAGAGAAACCTACATATAATGATTTATTAGTGAGTCAAATTGAAACTCAAACTCAATCCGAATCTTACCATTTTGTACAATACTTAAACTAAAATAAATAGCTTACAAAGTCGATCTTCATCTGAATAGTGATTTCTGTCATCTGACTTAGCACAACTCAGAGAATAGTTGGTTCTCAAAAAATATCGAAATTGGTTCACAAATGTCATACACAAAGAAATACAGTCGAATTGAGAATTTCCTCTTTTTTTGGAAGTTGGTTAAAAAAAGAAATGTGAATGCTATATTTAATAGTATATATATGTATATATGTATATATTATATGTAATAATAATATTATCATAATACATATCTACTATTTTATGGAGGCTTAGAAATGTAAATTATGTAAGTTTGACATTAACATGATTTTTCGCTTTATTTTTGACATTGTTAATTTTTTCTGTTTTTATTATATTTTTTCTTTACATATTTACTAGTTTTTGACAGCTTTTAAATATAATATTTTGTACATTATGCGACCACCACTAATTATATTTATTTGTATGTTTCGACGAAACTGGTTGTAGTAGCACTGTTAATGTATTGAACTGATCTGATGAACTTATTGTACCTACTTCCACAAATAAATAGATTTTTATTTTTATCTTTACGGTTCAAAGGGAAAGGCGCTAGATGCAATTTTTACAAATTCAAATTCAAACCAAATTTGAATATACCACTTCAGAAATAATAATAATTACTATTAGAAATAATATTAATATTAGAAATGATAATAATAATAAGTAGTGTTAAAAGGCAATCTGCTAATTCTGAATACATAAATTATGAAACAGATTTTCGATATAAGTGTCGCTTAACTCTTTTTGTCTTTCAAACTTCGATGTAATCTGTATAGTAAAATAAATGTAAATAATATAAATATTAAATCTTCTCAAGTATTTTTGTGATGAAGTGAAACTCAGGAAACTTACCCGGAAAAGGATGTCTGTCAACGAACGCTCGATCCCTCGAAGAACGAACACCAACTGACGACGCTGACACTCATTATCATTACGGTATACATTCGTCATGTCAATGAGCTTCCTTTGTATTAATCGTTGAATCAATTGATGACTTGTACAATATCGATGCTAACTTTACAAGTTAGATTTAATCCTCGCCTTGCTGAGGAATTTTACGTTCATTAGTGCGTAATACATAGTTGTGTAGGTCATTAACGTAAAATAACTACAATGATGGCCAAGGGTCCCAGTTCCGATAAAGATTGAACTCACTTAATAAGTATTAT